CTTGAAACCTTCACTATTCATAGAAAAAAAAAAATAACTGGAAAAAAAAAGACAAGAGAGAGAGAGAGAGAGAGAGAGAGAGAGAGAGAGAGAGAAAGAGAAACTGTTGAATGAATCAATGACTAATATCGATGTACGAAAATAGAGATCCGAGAGATTTTTTCTGCAAAAGCAAAATATATTTGGCGCCGCCGGTTGTCATCATTTTTTTTTTCTTCCTGAGAAAATTTAATTTTCTTCATCTTGAAATTGAATTTAAATTCAAATTTCATTTTTTAAAAATTTAAATTCAATAAACTTACTGAAACAAAAAAAAAATACTTGAAATTGAAACCAGAATTTTGAAGAAAAAAAACGAAACGCGTGTTTCTTTACACGCGTTTGTATAACCGAAAAAACAAAATCAAATTTTCCATCATCATCATCAATGAATGAATGATTTTCATTGATTTGTTCATCACCTTCGATCATCCGAAAGAGAGAAGGGAAAAAAATCATATTTTAAACAACAAAAAACGATCCATTCAAGTTGGTCGGTTGGTTAGTTGGTCGATTATTGTTGTTGTCATTTTTTTGGTTATTTTCTTGTTCCGTTCAGACTTTTTGTTGTTGTTCGCAGTGATTTTAGCTGTTTCATTGTAACAGTTTTTTTTTCTTTTCTGATCAATTGACTTTCATGCAAGAACGAAGCGACAACAACAACAAAAACCCTCAAACCACTTGAATGAGAGACCAAACAACAATGGCAATGACAATGTTGGAAACAACACCATACCAATTGTGTTCCACTATTGCCACCACTAGGATTTTGTTGAAAAAAAAAATCAAAATGAAAAATAATAATTTTCAGGGCAAATGATTTTCCATTCAGAAAAAAAAATCATTTGATGACGATCATCATCATCAAATGAACAATCAAAAAAAGAAAAACTGAAAATGATGAATTGAATTGAAAAAACTAAACTAAACTTGACCATACTGTGTGTCAGTCAGGCAGTTTACCATCCTGCTTTTCCTGGATTTTTTTTTCCACAAATTTTCCATGATTGGTGATGACAATATTATCAGTGGAAACAAAAAAAAAAAAATTTTTGTTCATACCACCAACAGTGTTATTATTATTAATTTTTTCCGGGAAATTTTCCAGAAAAATAATTTTCAAAAAAATTTCTCATCTTTTTTTTAAATAATTGGATTTTTTTCTGGTGGAAAAAAAGGATTTCAAAAGAAACAGAAACAGCAAGTTTATCCAAAAAGATCGCACACAAACTACGATCATCATGATCGATAAATTAAATGTCCCGTATGGAATATTCTTTTGGAACAACAACATCAACAACAACGAAAAAAAAACGAAAATCTCTAGAGGAAATCAAATGATGAATATATTTTCTTTTTGGTACGCGCGTGATATCTTTAGCTTGCTAGGCTAACCATTCATTCATTCATTCATACATCCAACCATACAATATCCTAAATAGAAACGGATATTTTATTTTTCACACTTTTTTTCACACATTTTGTTGTTGTTGTTGTTGTTTTCATCTGGAAAAAAAATCTACAAATGACAACAACAACAACAACAACAGGCAACGAAACAAACGAAAGTAGAATTTGGCTATTCGATTGTAACAAATTCAATTATTTTTTGTGAATAAAACAGTAGCAGACATAGAAAGAGAGAAAGATTCTGCCCTAAAGCTTTCATTCCATTCATTTATTGATTTGATTCTTGTGTTAATGTGGAACCAGAAAAAAACTAGCCAAAAACAAAAAAAAAATGACAAAACATCACACATCACACACACAGAATGTATCAATTGTTTTTTTTTTGTTTTCATTTAAACAAACCTTATCAAATGATGATGATGAATTTGTCATTGTACCATTCATAAATGTTGTATTATTATTATTTGGTGATAATGTTGTTATATCATTTGTAGGTGAATATGAATTTTTCATCATCATTATCATTGATTTGTTGTTGTTGTTGTTGTTGTTGTTATTGGTCAATGTTGTTGTTGTTGTGGTCGATAATGTTGTTGTTGTTGTTGTTGTTGCTGTGGCTGGCGATTTTGTAGTTGATGATGGAGATAAAGATGATAATAACTGACCATTATTATTACCAACAATATTAACAATATCGGTATTTAATACCGATGGTGGTGGTGTTATTGGTGTCATCATTATTGTTGATTGTTGTTGTTGTTGTTGTTGTTGTTGATTTAATTGATTAAAATGAAAATTTTGTGAATGAATCGATGTTAATGATTCACCGGATATAGCCATTAATGAACTATTATTATTATTAATTAAATTATGATTATGATTTGTTATTAAATATTTGGATGATTGCTGCTCATAAAATGATGATGATATTTGCTGTTGTGGTTGTGGTTGTTGTTGATGATGATTTGATAACAATTCTGTATTACGATTACGATGATGATGATGATGATGATGTTCTAACATATCATCATCTTCTTCTTCTTCTTCTTCTTCTACTATCAATGATGATGATGATGATAATGTTATTTGTGATTGCAATTGCTGTTGTTGTTGTTGTTGCTGATGTTGTAATGAACTATAAGGAACATTATTATGATGTTGAGATGATGATGATGATGACATAGGATTTGTGACAATATTATTTAAAAGATCATTACCATTTTGATAATAAATATTAGATGTAGGTGTATAATGTTGTTGTTGTTGATTACTTAAATTATTTGCAATCAATTGATTGACAACATTAGCAGTATCACCACTAATTGGTCCAATTTGATTATTATTGTTGTTGTTAAAATTTGTTGATGAATTTTGTTGTTGATTCGACGATAAATGATGTGAATAATGCTGCGATGGATGATAAGAATTTGTTTGTGATGATCCATTGATTTCCATCAATGAATTTGATTCATGATGATTAGTCAATGTCATTGTTGTTGTTTTGGAATTTTTATCAAAATTATTTAACAATAATTTTTCATTTTCATAATTTGTTGAATGTCGATGTTGATGATGATGATGATGATGATGATGATTGAAAAATTTTTGAAATTTTTTCGAAAATATTTTATCGTCATCACCATCACTGTCATGACGGATGCCAATGTGGCCGCTATTTCGATCCACTTGGCTATTATTATTATTTTGTTGTTTTTGGCTAAAATTTTTCAAAACACTATTATTGTTGTTGTTGATTTTTTTATTTTTCAAACAACGATTTTGATGCGGATGATGATGATGATGATGATGATGTTTATTTTGAAAATTATTCTGAATCATTAATTTTGATATTTTTGTTTTCTTCGGTTATTCAATCAATGATTTTTTTTTGAATCATATTTTCATGGATCAAACACCAAAACACAATGTTGATTCTAAATGCTGATTTTTTTTCGTTGTGAAATGCTGAATGAAACAATTTCAGAACAAATGAAACAAACGAACAAAACAAGCGAAGAACAAAGCCAAAAATTTTTCCTTTTTCGCTGAATCAGAAGCAGAAGAAAATTTTTGTTTTTCTTCACCCCATTATTATTATTATTGAATGATATAGCATAAAAAACACTGAATAAATAGGAGGAGTTTGTTTGACTTGTATAGTCTGTACAATGAAAAAAAACAAAATCGTCTGATTGGTCTATTCAGCAGAAAAAAAGATCATCAAAAAAAAAAAAAAAAAATGATGAATGAAAAAATGCTTTATATGAATGAATAGCATCAAATAGTAACAGCCCATAAGGCGTGTCTTTTGTTTTGTTTTGTTTTCAAAAACATCCCGAAGAAGACGAACATCCACAATAAAAAAAAACCTCAATATGTTTTCTATTGAATGTTTTTGAAGTTTATCCAATACATCTTTGGCTGGGTTTGGTTTTTTTGTTTTGTTCTGTTGTTTTGTTTTGTTTCTGGAATTGAATTTGTATTAGTTTAAGTTTATCATCAATAAGTTTTTGTTAATATTTTCAACAACATTTCACTCTCTCCCTCTCTCGCTCTCTAGCTTTCTTTCATTCTTTTTCGATAACCGAGCTATCTCAAAAGTGATTTTTTTGCAGCATCCGAATTTTGTTCAATTTTTTTTGTTTGTTCAAAGTCTAACAGCGAAGCAAAACGAAATGAAATGAAAAAATATTTGTTTTTCTTTTCGTTTCGTTTCATCGATTCACTTATTCAATAATTTTTTGTTCTTTATATTTTTTTTTTTTGGAATTGAAATTGTTTGTTTGTTTGTTTGTATTATTTTACAATAAGTTTTAGTTTTAGTTTCATTTTTTATCGTTGATCAATAATAAACTTTGCTTCAATGATCACATTACATAGTTTTTTTTCTCTCGATTTCTAAAGTTATGAACCATAAATGTTAGGCGCTAGAAATATAGTGAGATGGACATAAAAGTGAGAATTTTGAAGTTTTCAGCGAAGAAAAAAAATCGATGATGTAGAAAAAAAAATCGATGCCCCGAGATGAATTCTGAATTGAAAAGTACCCAAAAGTAATAAAGATTTTTGGATTTGGATTCTGATTAGCTTGAAAAATATATATGCAAATCGGAAATTTGGTTTTGGTAACGTAATGAGTAATCAATAAGAGTGAAAAACTAAAATTAATTAAAATCTGTTCCTGTCATTCCTAAATCAATACGGATGTAATTTTGTAATCTAAATTTATGTTACTGCAGTATTGCATCAACAACAACAACAACATTATGATTTTGATTATTTTTCCCAAGAAAACATTACATAATGAATCAAAAAAATTTTCTTTTTGATTTGTTGGCCGTTGTTGATGTTTAGGTAATTTGTAGTTTTACAAATACGTATATCGGCCATAAAAAAAACTAAACAAAAAACAAGTTGATTAAACTTCGATGATCATTCTCAGGTTACATTCATTGATTAAAAAGAAGAAACAAAAAACCGGATCATTCAGAATATTTAATAGATTATTTTTACAAATGATCATCATTGATGAAAATGGAAAAACGATAATATCTTTAATGTGGGTGTTACAAATACAAACATTTTTTTTCTTTCTTTTTGTTTTTCAGTGGAAACAGCCAAATATTAATAACAAAAAATAACAAAAAAAAAAGGTAATCAAACAAACATTACCATGACTATATTGTGTGTATGCATTATGTAGATTTTTAATGATATTTTCTATGGAATTTCTTCTTTTTTTTCTGTTAAACAAAATTCTTTTGATTGTGAAAAAACAAAAACATTAACCATAATCATCATTCGAGATAGGTGATAATGATGTTGATTTGATTTGATTTTTTTTTTCAATGAAAATTGTTTTTTTTCCTTCTCATCATTAGTCAGGATCAATATTGTTTTGAATATCGATAAAGATGATGATTATTATATCATAACAAATCAATCGATCGATAGATCGATTTGTGTTTGATTGAATTACAGGTGTATTTTAGTGTGTGCGATGTTAATGCAAACGAATCCTTTATCGAACAATAAACATTCTCATAACGTACGTTTGTTTGTTTTTCATTCATTCATTCAATGAATTATTGAATGTTTTCCATACTTTTCTTCTTCTTCTTCTTCTATTTTTTTTCCCTTGGGAATAAACAAATGACTAATGATAATGTTCATTATATCATCATCATCATCATCATCTTCGTTAATTATTTTTGTTTTTGTTTTTTTAATTAATCAAACAACAACAACAATGTTGATGATTGATTCGTTGTCATCATCATCAACGACAAAGATGACGGAAAATATTTTATTTGATTGTTTACAATTTACACCATCAACAATAAATTATTGTGGTCATTCATTACCATTAAATCATTGGATTATACATAAAACTGATGATCTTATTGATGTTATGTCGGTTGATCCATCAAATCTTTTAGAATATGTATTATTTATTGATCAAAATCAAGGAAAATTCCTTCTGAATTGGTCAAATTATCAAAATATATCTGAATTTTGTTTACATTTTGATTATATTTATTCAAGTCATTGTAAATTTGATAATTTTAAATGTTTATTAAATGCTTCATTTACAAATGAACAACAAAATAATATTCAACCAAATATTACTTTGAATTATATTGATCCAAATGGTTGGCAACAAATGTACATACAATTCAATCTGATTGATCAACCAAAATCCTTTTTCCTTCATAAACCAATATTGGCTATTAATGGTCAAATTTTTCAACAGCAAAAAGAAACCACCAAGGAAAGTCTAAAACTAAATATGGATGCTTATATTGCAATCAAAATGATTGAAATTCTTCAGGGACAATGTCCAAAACGTATTGGTACAAGAAGTATGTTAATTTTTATGTTAATAATGATTTTTTTAAAAACTATTTTCATCCAAATCTATAGCTGGTTTTTGGATCAGTATAATGATCATATTCACCATTATAACATTATCACCATTTATCTATTTGATTGTGGAAAATATTTTTAAAGAATATCGAAAACGTTATCACAAATCAACAACATTACCAAAAATGAATTTTAATAAACTTAAAAAAAGAAACAATGACGACATCTTGTGATCGGGAAAAAAGGAGAAAATAACAAAAACGAAAACTTAATACTTTTTTGAACTCAATTCTTAAAAAAAAAAAAAATTACTCAATTCATTTTTGTTTTGGAAGAAAATTATTATTGTTATTTTAATATTTTTTAAATTTTGCAAACAAGAGAAAAAGAAAATTTATTCATTCAAAAAACAAAAAAAATGTGTCAATCAGATTTTGGTCCAAATTCCGTTGAACTATGTCCACCAATACTACCGGCTGATGAAAGTTGTGAACAATTCCCTGTACCATTTTCAGCTAATGCTGCTGTTGTAAGTGATTCTTCTTCTTCTAATGATGATGAACAATTTATTGGTTCATTCGGTTCAATTGCTGATGATGATTGTTGTTGTTGTTTTTGTTGATTATTATTCTGATGATGTTTTGTTGCTGCTGCTGGCAATTCTGTTGGTGGTGATAAATCAATAGAACCAGATGGTGATGGTTCACGTGAATCTGAATCATCATTATCATCATCATTAATTGAATCATGTTCAACTTCTTCATATGGACATAATGTTTGTGGTAAATTATCATCATCATCATCTGAATCATTTATATCATGACCATGATGATCATCATCTGAATCTTGATGATCGATTGATTTTGATATTGATGATGAATTTAAAGATGATGATGATGATGATGATGTGGATGAGGATGCGGACGACGACGACGAAGATGAGGAAGAAGAAGTTGATGTAGGAGGTGGTGGAGGTGGTGGTGTTAATGGTGTTGATTTACTTGTATCAATAGTGGATCGTTTTTTTCTTTTTGATGATTTTGATTCATTTATAGAATCTTTACCACCACCTTTATCTTTATTACCAAAACTTGATTGATTTGATGATAATGATAATGATTTAGATGTTGTTGATTGTTTTGATGGTATCGATTGTATTGATTTTATTGTTTTCTTACCATTCATTGGTGGTGGTGGTGGTGGTTTTGATAATTTAGGTGGTTCAGAAAGTTCAATTGTTGGTTGACTATTTAACATGATTACTTTTTTACCACTGCTACGTTTCAATGTTGAAATTGGTACCGATTCAATCAACGGTTCTTCCATTGAATGATTACTGATTATTGATTGTTGTGATCTTTGTTGTCGTAACAATGCTGTTGAATGACTTTTATTATCCATTTGTGTTTGATTATCACTTGATAAACGATGTTCACGTTGTAATGTTGCAATCGAACCACTAACCGATTTATCCGATGATTGAAGACGATTTAATTGTCCTGTTTTTATTCTTGGTATTGTTGTTGTTGTTGTACTTTCATAACTTGCTTGTGGTCGTAGTTCATTACGACGAAGTGATGAGCGATTAACCTGTGCATATAATTGTCCATTCATTGGTTTATGATCAACAATTGTTGTTGTTGTTGTTGATCGTTGTTGCTGTTGTTGTTGTTGTTGCAATGAATTACGATGATGATAATGATGCGGATGTGATGCATTTGAATGATGATATAATGAATCAATCGATGCTACCGACATTGAATCTGGTGGTGATGCAGTTGCATCTGCAAAATATCTTATTGCATTCGATATATTATATGCTGATGATTTATGATTTGATTGATGCATAATACCACCAATTGGACCGGTTGTTGTTGTACCATCATCATAAGCAGATTGACGACCATATAATAATTCTTCATTAGTAAAATAGATGGCACCACGATTTCTATAATAAACAATTACACCGATTATTACAATTATCAATATTATGATAATTAATAATGCCAATACAAGTCCAACATTTGGTTCGGTTGTTGAAACACGTAATTGTACAGTTGGATCTGTACACCATTCCTGTATAAAGGTAAATTATTTTTAAAAAATTGAAAATCACTGAAAAAAATTTTCAACTTACCAATTTCCAATCTTCAAGTAAATCAACACGAATACCATCCAAATTAGGTGGATAACGACAAATAGCACAACGATCATATATTTGACATGCTTTTTGATATGGATTCAAAACGATTGTTGGTAATGATGTTAAAGAATTTTCATCAAATTCTTGACTATCATTATTTATTGTATTTAAATTTTCAATTCGATCATTATTATTATTATTATTATATTTTGAATGAATCGATGAATATGGTGTTGTAATCCAATTACGAAAATATAATAAATGACAACGATAACATGACCATGGATTTTGATCGAAAAAAATTAATGATAAATTTCTATATTGATTTAAAATGTATAAAAATTCTGAACTAAGTTCATATAATGAATTATATGATAAATCTAATACTTCAATCTGATATAGTTCATCTAATAAACGAACACTAATATTAACAAATGCATTATGACTTAGATTAACATGACGTAATGTTTGACGATTTTGTCCAAATAGATCGGATGATAAACTATTACTACTACCAGAATCTAAACGTAAATATGATAATTCAACAAATTCTAATTGACGTAATGGTGATAATAATCTTGAAACAGATATAGATGGTTCTTTTAATGTTGTTATATTGTTTAATGATAATTTTTTTAAATCATTACTTAATGATTCAAAAATTTTCGAATCAAATGTGGTAAAATTATTTGTAGATAAATCTAATTCAATGATTGTACAATTGGAAAATGTTTGCTCAGGTAATTCGATGAGATAATTATTTGATAATGATAAATGACGTAGATTTAGGCCAACAAATGCTAATGAATCAATTTGATTTAGATGATTATAATCCAAATATAAATCAATTAATTGATGTAATGAACTGAATTCAAATGTATTGATTATTTTCAGGTAATTATTACGCAAATCTAATATTTTAAGATTTGGTAAATTTTGATAAAATAATGAATGAATTTGTTTTAATTGACAATTACGTAATGATAATTGTTGTAATGAACGTAAATCGATTATATTTTTTGGTGGAATTTCATGAATTGGATTTGAACTTAAATCCAATGTTATTAAATTTGTTAGATTATAAAACAGTCTTATTGTTATTGTATCCAAACGATTATTTGCTAAACTTAAATGTTTTAATCGATATAATTGTTGAAATGTTCCGGATGCTAATTCTATTTGATTATTGGAATAAAAAAATTTTTTTTTTGTTTGAATTTGAAAAGTTTTTACAATCAAATGAAAAAATATTCTTACCCGACAATAGATTATGGCTTAGATTCAATGTTTCCAATTGTCTTAATCCATGAAAATTTGAATCAATAAGATGTTTAATTAAATTTTGACTTAAATCCAATGTTTGTAATATTGTACGATAACGAAATGTTGATGAACCAATTGCTGGTATACGACTTTTTGTAATACGTAATTTTTTTAACCGAGGAAAACGATAAAACAATGGACCTAATGTTAAATTATTTGGTCGATCATTTGGTGCACTAATTACAATCGAATCAACATTCGATGATATACGATCAAATGGTATATCAATATAACCACCGGTATCGCATATAATTTCACGATTACCTTGATCATCATAACGACATAATCGACATGGACATAATTCTGTCCATTTAGAATCATTTGCCGATGATAATGTAACAATAATTAATGGATCAAAATTTGTTTGATTATCAAAATTCATTGATATGGATGATAATGTTGAATATTCATTTGTTGGTTGACAAAAAATTTTTACAATAGTCAATAGCCAACAATGAATAAATATTGAAATAAAATGATGATTATTCAAAATATTGATGATTTGCTGTTGGTTATTCATTTTTTTTTGTTTTTCAATCACTTTCTTTTTGTTGCTTCATTCAATGGATGATAAATTCTGTTGATAAATTCATTTTGTATCAATGCTTTTTATAGCTTATTTGGATTAGGAATTCATTCTGAAGATTTTAAAATTGTGATAAAAATTTTCCATTTGCAATATCGTTGCAATCAAGATTGATCAATCGAATCTGACTGGCTGACTGACTGACTGACTGAATGGTGAATGACTGAATTTTATGGAATTCAATTCAGCAACGATCATCATCATCATCGATATATAGAATAGGAATTCTGAATTCTTGCTGATGATGATGATAATCAGCGATGATATAAAGCAAAAAAAACTAAGGCGGTAACCCGCTAAAAAAAATTAAAGAAGAAAAAAAAATGTAGGAAAAGAAAAATTACGGAAACTTTTCTCTCCACCATAACCCACAACAAACATTAGTCATAGTTGTCTTTTTGGATCGGATTGTGTCAAATCATTGCATATGTTGTTGTTGTTGTTTACCAAGATGGGCGTGTACACAGATTTTTTTGTTTTTTTTTTGTTGGCTATCGCACCTAGAATCTTGTCAATCTTGTCAAATCATCTGAGGTGAAACATTTTTGTTTGTTTGTTTTGTTCCAGAAATTCCTGGATTTAATTTTCAAAACTTTCAGGATCTTAGGTTGTTTGTTTTGTTTTTTTGGCCATTTTATTCTTGAATCCGGATATAAATTTTCATTATTCATTTTGGTTGGTTGGTTGGTTAACACCCAAAAATGATGACAAAATAAAGATGTGGTGTGAAATTTTTTTTGTTTCTTCTTTTGGATTCCTGAAAACTTTCTGGCGGTTGGCTAAAAAGTATCAGACTTCAATTGAATTGGTTCGTTGACTTTTGCCCAAAATACAATAGATCTATCTATCGGTAACGAAAGAGTGTAGTGAAGAAACAAAAAACAAAAAAATAACCGATAGATCGATCGATTGATCGGCCGTATTAAATTGATGATGGAAATACATAGCGATTTTCAAAATGAAATGAACTGAAACGATTTTCATTCCGTTTTTTTCATTTTGGTGAAAAAAAAATGATTAGAATAAGAGAGTTTGGTTTATCCAGAAAAAAAATATATACCGAAAATGAAATTGCAACCACACCCGTTGGTTCGTTTGGTTTTTCGGGTATAATCATATTAGTGGGTGAAGGGGGGGTTGAGTCCACAAATTGAAACTATCTGATTGAAAAAACTGAAAGGCAAGAAGAAAGATAAGGGGGAGAAAGAGACGACGAAAGATATCATCACCTGCACAATATGATTTTTTCATCATCATCATCATCATCATCATCGATGATGAATATTAGGCCAATTCATTGAAATTTCAGGTGAAGAAAAAAAAATTCATGCAAACAAAATAATAATAATAACAACCTGGGTAAAAAAACAACAACAAAACATTTAGATCATCAACACCTAACTTGTTTATTTTCAGTTTTTTTGTGTGTTTGGTTTTGTTTTGGCTTTGACAATGTTTAATTGCAATAGATCACGAATTTTATTTTATTTTTTATATTTCAAAAAGAGAAAAGAAATGAAACATGTTATGAATACATATTGTGTGTGTGTTTTGTGTGTGTAAGTGAATGAAATCAATTGCAATCGATAAATTCATTTTTTTTTGGTTGATAAATTTTGTTAAATTGTTGTTGTTGTTGTTGAACACATCATCATTATTCAATTCTGTAAATGTATTTGTTTGTTTTTTGGCTAAACATTCATCACATTATTAACATCCAATAAGATATTATTTTTGGAAAAGATAACAGGAGAAAAAAAAAATGAGTATGATTATTGTAAAAAAAATATGAATCACATTAAAAAAAAGTAGAAGAATTCAATTTGTTTGGCCGTATCAAAGTTATTATAAAATATTTTTTTTTTATGATCACAATTTTCGTTGTTTGTTGTTCAATATCCAAAAAAGCTATAAATCCATTGAAAAAATCCAACAATTGTTGACCAAATTGAACGTTTTGATTCAAGAATTTTAAACAATTCTTGATCATCTTTAATAAATGAATCGATTACTTTGTTTTTTAATGATAATGGCCATTCTTGTGCAAGACCATTATCTAATTGAATAATACAAATGTCATGTATCTATAGAATAGAATAGATTGAATTGGAATTAAATATGATTTAGATGAAACATAGACTACTTACAAATTTTTTAAAACGAAAAAATGTTGAATATGAATCTTTTGATGATATAATTATTTGTTTAGCAGTTTTTAATGGTATTTCAACTTCTTGTTTGAATGCATCAAGATTTTGTTTGGAACGTTTTTCGATTATTTGTTTGAGATTTGTAATTACTTCGTCAATAACTTTTTTATGAATTTTATAATCAGAATAAAGATTCAATGGTTGAATACATTTTGTATCAATACGAGATGATTCTTCTCGAACAATTTCATCAAAATGATCAAAATCAATAGGAAATTTTAGCCGTTCATTTGAAATACGTTCATCAAATTCTTTGTAACATGAAGCAAGTTCTTTTCGTAAAAATTTACCAACAGCCATTTCTTGATCTTCAAAAATTAATTGTTTTCGTTCATTCAACAAGCTATTTAATTTATAAATTTTTGATTTATAAAGTTCACGTTCGCTAGCAAAATTTTCTACACGATTTTCAAACATTTTTTTAGCATTATTTTCCAATTCATTTAAATAGGCAATAAATTTTGATAAAACTTTCGGTCGATTTGTATCGATCTGTAATTTGGAAAAGCCATCATTTATTGATGATTGAATATTTTCATCAAAATATTTATCCAAATGTTTATTATTTTCAAGCATTGAAGAATCGGCTGTCAAATCAATAAAACGTTCAATAAATTCAATATCACCGGTAATTTCTTCTTTTGGTACCAGATTTTTTATTTCTTCATAAAATTCTTCAGAAATATTTGATTTAAGTTTGATGGCAAATTGTCGAATATTTTCGGTCAAAACTGGATATTTTATTGACAAAAATTCATTGACAATTTCAGTTTCCATTTTTTTTCGAATAGAAAATGTTTTCATCTGAATTTTTTGCTTATTAACTGTTTTGATTAAAGTATATGAATTACGAATGTTATCAGCTAATTGTTGTTGTGATACATGAAGATGACTTTCAAGACCTTGCAAAAGATTCTGTAATAATGTTGATGATTTTTGTAATGCTGTTTGATGCCATTCTTCAAGATATTTCATTGAAACTGGTTCATTATTTAATTGTTCAACCAATAAATTATTCATATAATTAACATAGAATTTAAAACATTCATCAATTGATGATTGTTTTAAACGATCAAGAAATGCATCCCAACGATTTGGTATTTCGGTTAACGATCCAGAATTGGCTGCATTAACAAGCATACGAAATATATGTACTAAATCGGTACCGGTCATAGCGATTGAATTACGAAATTTTGGTCGTAATAAATCACTTAATTTTTCGATAAGTTCATCACGTTCATAACGATAATCATCTAGAAGATCATGTTCATCGGCACGTGATAAATCAGCTAAATGATATTTATTGGCACTTGGTATAAACAATGTATGACAATCAACTGATGGAAATATATCTTTCAATGATATTGAATAGGATTCAGTTTCACGTGTATGTGTTGATAATAATTCAATAAGCCAATCTTTACAATTTTTACCTTCATCAACATCTTGAACAAAATCCTGTATTACCCATATTAATGATGGAAATTGTAATATTTCTGAATCTAATTGATAAATTGAATTTTTTAATCTTTGAGGATGATCATTTAGCGAAACATTTGCTCGTGGTGTCATCACTGCTTTCAATGCAAACAATTGTGTACGTCTTGCCAATAATTCAAGATAATCAATATCTGATTGATCAATTATTTTTACTGAATTAAACAATAATGTTGAACTCATTAATGTTGCAACGGCAAATATTTTTGCATCATAATTTTCCGAAATATTTGTTGCAGCAAAACCTTCAGTATCGAGCATTAATGTCCAATGATCTTGTCGTTTTGAACCGAATTTTATTGGCTTTTTTGTTTTTGTAATGAAAAATAAAAGAGAAATAAATCTCATTTCACACATCATAATAAGACTTACCTTTCCCCAAAGCCATATACCCATCGTTTCAGGTGTAACTTTTGAACCGATACCAAATCCTTTTGATTTTTTCATCAATTGATTCATCAGATATGATTTACCTGAATGAAATTTTCCAACCACCGATATTAAACTTACTGGTTCGGTAATTGTATGCAAAAACTTCGGCAAAAAAAAATTCAATTAAATTTTAGTAAATTTTTCAATAAAACATACTTTAATATTTTCTTCAACAATTATTAGATTTTTATGTTCATCATCTGGTCGAACAAGCTGTAATGGACGATCAGGAAATAATGTTGAATCATATTCATATTCATTATTCAATGAATTTATATTTTCATCACCATTACAATAGTGATTATGATTGGATAATAAAATTAATGTGAAAATCCATATGGATAATGTCCGATGACAAGATAACATTTTTGTTGTTGTTGTTTTAGTCGGATACGAATAACAAATGTCCAAAAAGATCAAATTGAAAATCAAAAAATAAAACACCGAACAAAAAAAATCGAATGTTTTCGAATACCAAACCGAATCAAAACACCAACAACAAGTTGCTCACTTCATATAGTACATAAAGCAAAAAAAAAAATTCGAATGTATTTCGAAACATTCGAATTTTTAAAATTTTTCTTGTTTCGATTTTGTAATTTGATTCAATTTTTTTTTTGGTTTAAATTTGAATTTTAATTGAATTTTTTTTTTTTGATTTCAGAAATAAAACAATGACAAATAACAAAAATATCTGGAACAAGAAAAAAAACAACAAAAAATATGTACAACAACAAACAACAAAAGATGTGAAATAACAACAAAAAAAGTGAAATGTTAAATGTGAAATGAAAAATTTTTTTTCATTACAAAAATAAAAATAAAAATAAATTGATTGAATTTGGGGTCGAGTGGGCAAAAGAATGTCGTCGAATGATTGTGAAACAAATCGAATCAAATCAATTGATTGATTGGAGAAAAAAAAATTTTTTTTTCAAGCAAAATTATCATAACCTTGTAAACCTTGTAAAATTGGATCATTTGCAAATAAATCAAAATTAAATGGTTCAAATGGTTCATCCGGTTCATCCGATAAATCTTTTGATGATGGTGATGATTGATTTGATGATGGACCATCACCATTATTTTGATTATTATTATTATTTAAATGATTTAATCCACCATCATCTGCATCATCAATATTATCATTTTGTATTGGAAAATTTCGTTGTTGATGATTATGATTATGATTACGTTGTTGTTGATTACGATTAAAATTTATCGGTAATTTTTTTCTCGGACGTAATTTATCTATATTATTTTGTTGTTTATTTTTTTGATTATTATCAGATTTATCCAAAATACCACCACGTATAATTTCAAAATTACCACTACCTAATATATCATATTTTTCAATATTTTTACTTTCCTGTTTACTATATAAATTTCTATGTTGTTTTGAATCTTGATCCTGTGGATTACGTAATTGATTACGATTATTATTCATCATAGATGGTGTTATAATATGATCGATTCGATTATTATTCGATGTTGTTTGTATTGATGGTGAAGATTTTTTTGACTTTGTTTTTGGTTGTCGTTCTCGATTGAATCGTTGATGTCGTTGTCGATGATAATTTTGATCATATTCTTCTGGATTATCATCAGGATTATCATCCGAATTATCATCATTATCATCATTATAGAAATTATCCTGATCTTGATCATCATCTTCATCCATACTTGATGAAGTTGATCCAGAATCATCATCATCATTGTTATCAAAATCAATTTTTCGCTGTTTTGGATTACGATGATGTTGTGTTTCTCTTCGAATACGATTCAATGGTCGTCGTAATATTTTTTTACGACCACCACCATCATCATCATCATCATTATCATCATCGTTACCATTATCGTTGCCACCACCATTATTATTTTTATCACCATTATCTAAATCTGATTGAAAATCTTGATCAATTTGATAACTATTCGATTGAAATGAATTATTATTATCGATTGATGATCGATCCAATGGATCATCAATATCCGGATCATTATTATTATTATTATTTGATGATATTTGTCGTTGATAGATTCGTCGATCGGATGAATAAAATTTATTGTTTGTTGTTGTTGTTTTCAATAATGGTTGATTTGAATCTGCAAAATGGAAGGATTGATTTGGAGGGCAAAAAATGAGAAAAAAACAAAAAAAAATTTAACCACGATAATGAAATTGGTGTACGGAAAAACTAGAAACGATATCGGAAATTAATCAACAACAAAAAAAAAGTGATCGATCGATCGATCGATTGATCGGGAATCAATAAACAACAAAAATCCCGTATTTTGACATGTTTGAACATTGTCACTGTCAAATTTTCAAGATTTTTTTTGTTTGCAAAAACAACAAAAAACGGGAATTTTTGCTGTTTATTGCTGCAATTACGGAAATATTCAGGTGTCATTTTTGTTGTTGTTTGTCGTTGATCAACAAAAGGAAGGAAATCAATTTCAATGGTAATTTTTTTGTGTAAGTAAGTAAGAAAGAAAGAAAAAAGTAACTTTTCGTCGTCGTCGTCGTTTAGTTTTCAATGACTAATATTAACACAGGTAATAATTACCTCCTTCCTGAAATCAAATCTTATTATTTATTTATTTATTAAACGAACATAAATGAAGTGTTAGTGCAAGTTTTTTTTCATTTCAAGGATTCTATTTCATTTTTTTTGTAATTTTTTGTTTTTCTGAGAAAACTTTCTGGCAATATTTTTGCCGAAAAGTTTCTTTATTTTAAAATTTAAAATACTTACTATTAGAACTTGTTAACAGAATTATAGTGATGATTAAAAATAAAGCCAAAATAATTATACCAATAATAATGATTATCATACGACGTTCCCATTGATGACGTTGATGAAATTTTTTCAATGCTAATTGAATTAATGAATTCTTTGGTGTTGTTGTTGTTGTTGTTGTTGGTATTGTTGTTGTTGCTGTTGCTGGTGACATGATTGATGAATTTGATGATTGAACGAACGAAAAAATTCTTTGGTAACCAAAAAAAACAAGACTAGAATCTTCCAATGATCAACGTAACGGATTATGATCAAATCAATCAATCGATTTTTCGTTAAACATTTTTTTCGTTTTTCAGTGTTACAGAAACAGAAGAATTCAAAGTCAAATTGGTTTGATTTCAAATAAACAAGAAACAAAAATGAAACAAAAATAGATCTTATTTTTTTTGTTGTTGAAGAAAATCAAAGCAACAAACCATGACCACAATCAAACACCATACACAACCACCAACAACGATAACGATAATGATTGTGTGGTGAACGAAAAAACAGCAAAAATAATATTTATCTTCGATCCTTGAATTGTTTTTTGGTTTGTTAAAAGTTATGGATAGCTATGTAGATGATCTGCTACTGGCTTGAATTGTTTGTTTTTGCTTTGGTTAGTCGTTTGGCTGGCTGGTTGATCATTACGAGATTACCTTGATGATTATCTTGTTGCTTGTCTATCTATCTATCTATCTCGAAGAAACAGAAGAAAATTTTTTTTTGTTTGTTTCAAATCTTATTAAACCGACAAAATTCAACGGAAAATCAAAGCATAAAATCAAATTTAAACAAAGTAAGAAAAAAAAAAGATTGAGAAAGAAATCAAAAAATTTTTGAAACCAGAAAAAGAGAGAGAGAGAAAAAAAGGATTATGCGCGCGCACACGCCTGATTTCAAAGAAGAAAAAAATGAATTTTAAAAGAAAAAAAAGTTTCAATTTTTTGTTGTTGATGATGATGTTCGTAATATATATTTTTTTACGTTCATGCATGCATGTGTGATCATTGAAGCGATAATCAAAAAAAAAAATCGATCCAAATGGATCGATTTTTTTGGAATTAATAACATTACCTCACACACACACCTTTGGTGATGATTGTTGATTGTTGATTGTTCCAACATCATTAATATCATTAAATTGAATAAATATGGATCATTTCGATTGATCGATCGATTGATTGATTGATTGCGAGAGAGAGAGAGAGAGANCAAACCATGACCACAATCAAACACCAATACACAACCAACCACAACCATCAACAACGATAACGATAATGATTGTGTGGTGAACAAAACAAACAGCGAAACAACAACCAAAAAATATTTATCTTCGATCCTTGAATTGTTTTTTGGTTTGTTAAAAGTTATGGATAGCTATGTAGATGATCTGCTACTGGATTGAATTGTTTGTTTTTGTTGGTTAGTTGTTTGGCTGGCTGGTTGATCATTATAAGATTACCTTGATGATTATCTTGTTGCTTGTTTGTCTATCTATCTATCTCGTCAAACGAAGAAGCAGATTTTTGCTTCAAATCTTATTAAACCGACAAAATTCAACGGAAAATCAAATTTAAACAAAGTAAGAAATCAAAAAAAAAGATTGAGAAAGAAATCAAAAAAAAAAAATTTTTTTTCATTTGAAACCAGAAAAGAGAGAAAGGATTATGCGCGCGCACAATTCATTTTTTTCATAAGAAAAAGTTTCAATTTTTTGTTGTTATTGTTATTGTTGATGATGATGTTCGTAATATATATTTTTTTTACGTTCATGCATGCATGTGTGATCATTGAAGCGGTAATCAAAACAACAACAACAAAAAAAAATCGATCCAAATGGATCGATTTTTTTTTGAATTAATAACCTCACACACACACCTTTGGTGATGATTGTTGATTGTTCCAACATCATTAATATCATTAAATTGAATAAATATGGATCATTTCGATTGATTGATTGATTGCGAGAGAGATAGATAGATAGAAAAAGTCAATCAACCGAACCAATTCAATGATGATGATGATTATCATCATTAATATTAAATCAATTTTTGTTTAAATAAAAAAGTTCATTTTGGTAATTTGGAATAACGAAATAAAAAACAACAACTGAACAAGATTTTTCTCACACACAACATTTGAATTATGGATTGCCCAATCCAATCTAGCAAAAAAAAAAATTGACAATTTTTTTTTGAAAATTTTTTTAATTCATTTTTTGATGAAATGAAAATTACAAAGTAAACAGAGAGTCAGAGAGAGGGGAGAGTAAATTAAATTTGAAAATAAAGATCAATTATCGATTACAATGATCAGCTAAACATTGTTCAGTTAAATAAAGTAAAAATTCAAAATCAACATCAGTTAATGAACGCCAAAATTGTCGTTGTCGTGCCCAAATATCAGCAGAATATTGTGGTGATGATATACCAGTTAAAATTCTAGCAATTTTTCTTGCTGTATCTAAACCTTGATCATAAAATTGTTGAATAAATTCAGTAATTTTATATGAAATTGCAGCATAATCATCATTTCTCATATCCATTAAACAAGGTAATGAATAATTTATTGATTTTCTATCCATTGTTGAAAATGTTTTTTCAATTTCACTGGTTATTGATTCGGTACCAAAATAAATTTGATTTAAAAATTCTTTTAAATTATCTGATTTTTCCAATAATTTATCATCATCTTTACGTTCTAAACTATTCAGACGAAATTCTGATAATTTTTGATATGTATAACGTAATTTTAATATTTCTTGTTGTTCAAATTTTATCATACGATTATAAACTGAATCAATAATATTTTCTAATTGTTTATTTGATAATACACCAGGTGAATCAAAATGAAATGAATAATCGGAAAAACGTATACCCAATTGTCGACGATATTTTCTTTGAATCGATTTCAAATGTTTACGTATTGACCAAACATCTTTTGTCATTAATCGTGCAACATCGGCAATTGAAAATGTAAAATTTGTATTTGAATTCCATAATCCATTTGATGATGATGATTGTTGTTGTTGTTGTTGTCGTCGTCTTTTCATTAGAACATCAGCATGACGAAGAATATCATCTTTTTCAATTAATTTTTTAAGAAAATCTTCATCATCACTAAAATTAACAATATGACATATTGAATTAAATGAACTATGTACTTTTATAGCAAACGATTGTTGGCCATTCAATTCACCATTGATATCATTCAGTTCATTATTTTTATTTTCTAACATCATTAAAATTGTTAAAAGAACTTCGGATTTAATATCGGTTTCAATTTCGGTTGTAAAAATTGGTAATGCAACTGGATGTCTTGGACAATCAATTTTAACATTATCATCATTATTATTATCAGTGTTTAAATCTTCAAAAATTTCAACCAAACGACGACAATGACATTGTTCATAAACAAGATGTATAAATTTTGAAATATTTTCACGATCAACACCATTTGCATAGATAAAATTTTGTAAACGATAAAGATCTGAATAATTATCATCTAAAATTAGATGACAAATAGCTGGATGACCATCACGTCCAGCACGACCAATTTCTTGTACATAATTTTCAAAACTTTTTGGCATATCATAATGTATAACAGCCATAACATCTTTTTTATTAATACCCATACCGAATGCAATTGTAGCAACAACAATACGTAATTTATTTTGTAAAAAACGTCGTTGAATATCACGTCGTTGTTGTGATGAAAGACCTGCATGATAACATTCAGCAAATGATTCAGTTTGACGATAATTTTTTTCAAATTGTAATGATGTTCTTATGTATGATGCTAAATGTTCACAATCATCACGTCTAGTACAATAAATAATAATCGATGTTAATTCCATAAATGGTGATTGTTTTAATAAATTAACTAATGTTTTCATTTTATTTGTTGGTGATTTTGATACAGTTAATATCAAATTATCCGGTATTCGTGTATGACCGATAACATCATTTTTCTGATCAATCAAAAGATTTTTACAAATATTTTCAACCATTTCTTTAGTAGCGGTTGCTGTTAATGCCAATACAGTACGTATATTTAATTTTGTTCGTATTGATTCATATAATTGTAAAAATGATGGACGAAAATTTGTCGACCATGATGCAATACAATGTGCTTCATCAATACAAACAAATGCAATTTTTGGAAATGATTTAAATGGAATTGATTGAAATCCATTTACTAAACATTCTGGACTAAGGAATAAAATTTGTGCACGATATTCAATAATATCCGAAATGGCTGTTGCATTTTCACGTTCATTTTGATTTGAATTAATACAAACACCACGTAATTTCGATGGTAAATTACGTATCTGATCTTGCATTAATGATATTAATGGTGATATAACCAATGTAATTGAACGTAATCTATTCCAATAAGCCAATGCAGCAGTCTGATAGCAAATAGATTTACCAAAACCAGTTGGTGCAACAAGTAAACAAGAACGACCACATATAATTCTTTTAATTATTTGTCGTTGTTCCATACGAATATAATCATTACAAATGGAAAAATAAGTTGACATTAATGTATATTCAACTTCATGATAATCTAAATCATTATAAAGACCATTATTACAACCAAGATCAAATGATTGATCAAAACTTGAATCTAATGCACCATCACCGGTTTGATCTTCATCAAATTGTACTGAAAGACTAGGTATATTATCGCATTCTTCTTCAATATGATCATTTGATCCACATTTATAACATTTATTATCTAATTTTGAAATCATACGATTTGCTTTATATTGTTTGAATTTATTTTTTTTCGAATTACGAAAACGTGATTGTTTTTGATTTACATAGAAACGTTTTTTACGCATTTGTAAACGACGAAAATTATTATTGATTGATTGTTTCTTTTTTGTCATTGTTGTTTTCTTTTTTGCTATACGATCCTGATTGATTGATAATTGATTTGAAACATCAGTCAATTTTTTCTTTACTTTTTTCGGTTCATCATCATCATCAACATTATCAGGATTAATACTTTTTGCCGATGATGATTGTTCTTTGCCGGAATTCGATGGTCGATCATTATCATTGTCATTACGTTTTGGTTTTTGTTTCGATAATAAACTAGAATCTAGAATCATTTTTGTTTGATAAAATTAATTTATGATTTGAATTGGGAAAATTTGAAAACAAACCTGTACTTGTTGATTCAAAATCTAATGTTTTAACATGATCAAAAAACGAATATGGATCAATTGTCGGTGGTTTTTTACAATCATCATTATCATTATTGCTTTCATTATCATTATTTGCACGTTTATGTTTGAAAATTTTTCGTTCAGTCGTTGATGATGATTTAACTTGTGAAATTGTTCGATGACGTTTAGATGGTGAACTAGGACATTCTTCATCCAACATAAATATTGATCGTTTATTGTTATTGCCAGAAACATTTTGTTCTAAATTATCATTATCATCATCATTGACTTTATCAACATTATTCAATAAATTTTTTATTGATTCATTTACAGTATCCAGATAATATTGATCATCCAGATCCTCAAATGCATTCAAATTATCATCAAGTTGAGTTGATGATGATTGTTCGACGGATTCTTGTTGTTGTTGATCCCCAACATTATCAATGTCACTTTGTTGTTGTTTGATGGAAATATTTTTCAATTTTTCAAGCTGTCTACGACGACGATATCTTAATGAATAATGATACCATGGATCTTTTTCAATTTCATCACGAATATATTGTTCTTGAACTATACGTATTTTTTCTCTTGCTTTATTTAAATCGAATCGAATTTTTGTCGGTGATGATGATGATAATGATTTTGAATTTGATTTCGAATTCGAATCTTTCGTCAATTTAGCAGAATTCTGTTGACATGATTTATTCAATGATGATGACCAAACTTTTGTTGTTGTTGTTGTTGTCTTAGGTTTATTCGATGACATCATTTAAAATTTCTTCGTTCAATTTAAATCATCAAGATATTTTAAAAATTTTATCAAAAAAAGAAAAACAACGACGTTGTTAGTTTGTCGTTGAATGTTGTTATCACGAATTTTTTGGCGCGTTTTAAAAAACGAAGCCACAAATTACAAACGTCTAGCGGCAATAAAATTTGTAAAAATATCCCGAAAAAAATAATGCAAAACCGAGAAGAAAAAGCATAGCAGGATTCAATGCTTCAAACAAAACAAAAATTTCGCTTTTATCAATGATTTTCGCTTATTCACAATATATGTGCTACTAGCTAATGCTAATCCGCCTTATAACAAACAACAGAAAGAAAGAAAGAAAAAAAATTTTTTGATATGCCGGTCTCCATTGATAATGCTACTACTATAGTCCTATCTCCATCAACTTATGTGAATGAATAGCGAGCAAGCACACCGCCGCCACTGTATGAAATAACAAAAAAAATTTTTTTTTTTTTTGATTTCAATTTTATTAAATACAAAATTTGTTTCAACAGAAAAATCCTAAATCAAAGAATTTCATCGATAAATTTATCAACTGCAGAAAAATAGGCGAAATTTTTTTCTTTCATTTTTTGTTTCTTTCAAATATCCATTGTAACTATTTATCATCATTGTAAAACAATGATGATGAAATCAATAAAATCTTTGTTGTTTTCAAAATCATTCGGTTATATTGATTTATTATTTACATTGTTAATAATAATTATATTGATTGATCAACCGAATGTTTGTTGGTCACGTATGGTGGATAAAAAAATCTATCATCAAATACCGGTACAAAATTTTTGTTTCCTTCGATTTAATGCTACTAATCAGATTGGCTGTAGTGGTAAATATTTTTTTTAAAAATTTTTATGAATTTTTTGAAAAAACTTGATAATAATTCTTTTTTTCTAAACAGATTCAAAATTTGGTAATGAAGGTTTAATCAAAATTATTAATAATGATAATGATTTGAATGAAATTAAAAATGGCCATATGGCCTATGTTCCTGTGATAACTAGTAAACAATTTAATTAGTAAGTCTTCTTTTTAATAAAAATCAATAATCAATCAATTTGCTTTATTGTTATGTTCATTTGTACAAAAGTACAACATTAATGGCCTTTAAAAAATCTGATAATGTTGCTGGCGTTATTGTTTGTGATAATGGTCGACCTGAATGGGGTTTTTCATCCGATCATTCATGTCCAAATCAATTGTTTGATCTTTATACTAATGATAATGAATATGGATTTTGTCGTAAAATTCAATGGAATAAACCGAATAAACAACATTATGATAATGGTTTATTATTTGAACATTGGCCATTTCCAATATTTTTTATTCGTAATCAAAATGATATCGATTGGTTATTGAATGTAAATATTGATTTTTTTTAAAGAATTTTTCGATTTCATTTTAATTTTTTTTTGATCAGAAAACTGATGAACATCAAAATTGGCCAAAATTAGCAGCCGAATTTACTGCACAAATGCATGGTGCAGTTGATTCAATTACCTGTACACGTCGTTCAATATTAAGCCAAAATTCATGGTTTTCATTAATGCCAACTACATATTGTGAACCATTAGGTGGTATCAATATTTATACACATACATTTGATTTGAATAATTTAAAAACAATACCGGATAATTCAGTTATTGTTTTATCAACACGTTTGGATACATTCAGTATGTTTGATCAATTAGCACCGGGTGCTGATTCAGTTATGTCATCATTAATTACAACATTGGCTATTGCTCAATTATTATATCGACCTGAAATTCAAACCAAATTAATCAATACTATTAATCAAAGATCATTATTAATTGCTTTATTTGATGGTGAAGCATTTGATTATATTGGTTCAAGTTCAGCTGCATTTCAAATGAAAAATCAAATATTTCCATTACCAAGAAATAATTCTGTAGAAAAATCATTACAATTTAATATTGATAAAATTTATCAATGGATTGAATTTGAACAAATTGGCCCACATGAAATATCGGATAAATTAGATCTTTATTTACATAAAAATCCTGGAACCACCGATAGCCAACAATTAATAAATATAATTCAAATGGAAAGTAAAAATTTCAATGATTTACAAATAAATGAAACTCCCAACGATATGCCATTACCACCATCATCGATACAAAGTTTTCTTAAAATGGTAACCCAGTCTTTTTTTTTTACTAATGAAAAATTTTATTTATAATGATGACATTTTTATTTTTTTATTTTACAGCGTAAAAATATTGAACATGTTGTCGTTACTAATCATCGTAATGAATTTATTAACAAATATTATAATAGTTTTTTTGATGATGGTTCAGATATAATGAATTCAAAAGATTTTAAACAATCATATTTACAACGAATCAAATCAATTGCTACATTATATTCACGTGTTATTTATCGATCATTAACAAATGAACAATTGGATCTAAAAGAAGAAGCCAGTGATGAATTGATTTCAATGTTAATGGAATGTTTCCTATACAATTCAAATTGTAAATTATTTTCCAACATTTTACAATCGGTTAATAAAACAATCGAATCAAATGATGATGATGATGATGAAAATAATCAAATTGAACCACCATATCCAAGTTATGTTAGTGTTTATCAAGCTGATCCACGTACAAAAATTCTTCGACAATATATTAAACGTATTTTAAATTATTATTCTGGTCAAAATATGAATGTATCATCATCCGATGAATGTATATCAATGGCTAGATCAGATCATGTAAGTTTAATTAATTAATTATTCGATTCATTTAATTAATTATTTTATTTTATAATTTAGTTACATACTTATATATGGCAAATGGGTGAAAAAAATAAAGGTGATTGTATGCGTTCAAATGTATTTACAGTGGATTGTTTATCACCAGCATTCGATTCACAAACATTGGATATTCGAAAATCTTATGTTGATCAAAATGAATATGCAATTTGGACTGAAAGTAAATGGGATTCAGTTAATCTTAGAATTTTTGTTCAACCAAATCCATGGCAAAAATATTTTATATTTATTTTTGGATTGTTTATTTCAATAATTTTTTCAACATTATTTTTCTTTTTCAAACATAATTTTGATGATTATTTTGAATCAACTATTGATACACCAAATTGTAATCTAACACCCGAATCAACCGATAATAATAGTGAAAATGTTGTTGATAATCAAAACATTATTGTACAAACATAATCATCATCATCATCATCGGAATTTCGTAATCAACCAATAATTAGAGATGTTATAGCCTGATGATTTGTTTGCTAATTTTTTTTTTGGACTGAAATCATCTAATCAATCATCTTGATCTTTTTTTTCTGGTCTTTTTTTTGATAACATTGTAAAAATTTTCCCTGAAATGAAAAACATCAAAAAAAAAAATTACATTCCATTTTTTTTCCCATTCAACAAATGGATTTCTCTTTGTCTCTCTTTGAAAAAAAAGATTTTGTGATCACATCAATCTTTTCTTTCATTTTCCTCATTATCATCATTACACAAAGATTTAATTTAAATAATTCATCATAAACAACGTTATTCTTGTCACAATCTTTTGATAATTTTAATTTTAATAATAATTTTAATTTTAATTAAAATGATTTTCAAAAAAAATATTCTCCTTTTTGATGTTTGATAATAATAATAATAATGATGTAAAAAGTGGGAGTTTCATTCATTGATTCATATTTGGCTATATTGATTTTTTTTCTTCATATTACTTGGCGCTTGTATTGATCTGTATCATTTGATGATGATGATGATTATTATGATGATTATAGGCATTATGTCGATTATTATTATTATTATGATGTTGATGATTATAATGTTGTAATTGAGAATCAACAATAACATTAGATGGAGTTACCGGTATTGTAGTAGAAATATTAATATCATTATCATCAACAATACATTTTTGTGTATCATTTTGCATTATTATTGACATTGTTGATGATATTGGATCTTTACTTGTCATTATAATATTATTACCATTATTGTTATAAGCATTAATATTATTATTATTAATTCGATTGGTTACATCACAATCAATTAGATTAAGATAAGCATTCGAATCAAACATTGTCATATTATAATGATGTTGATGATGATGATCATCGATCGACAATGGTGATGTTTTTGTTGTTGTTGCTGCTGTAGATATTGTAGTTGTTGTTGTTGTTGCTGTTATTATAGTGGTCAATGTAATAGAATTATCATCAATATGATGATGATAATGTGTATCATTTACATTGGATAATTGATAATCAATCAATTGATTATTATTACAATGATGATGATGATCATTTAGATTAATTAAACCTGTATTAATTGATGTATAATGATTATCATCTAAATATGTAGTTGGCGTTATTGGTAATTGATCAACAATTGTTGTTGTTGTTAATGATGATGATGATGATGATGGTAATATTAATTCATTATCATCAATATTGGTAATAATATTATTATTTATTGTTGTTGATGATGATGATGTTGTTTCATTATCGATTGATTGAAAACTATTTTGACCATAAATATGACCGGTATCGATTCCATTATTATATAAATGATGATGATTATGATGATGGTTAGGTTGAAATAGATGCTGTTGTTCCTGATGATTAAGATGATGATGGATAGGATTTGACATTTCTACATTCGAATAATGATTTGAATGCTGATGATGTAATGGATAAAACAACGAACCATTATTATTTAATGAATATTGTGATGCTGAAGATGATGCGGAGGAACACGATGTTGTTGATGATGATGATGTAACAAGATTTGGTTGTAATGTTACAACATTATCCAAATCGGTTAAAGTAAATATTGTTGTTGCTGTTGTTGATGGTATTGTTGTTGTTGCTGTTGTTGTTGTTGTTATTATTTCCGGAATTGTTGGAAATAATTGTTCATTTGAATAATTTGATTCAATTTGATTATTATTATCATTATAATAATTATTATTATTATTCAATAATGATCCACCGGAATTAATTGAATCATTCCAATTATATGATTGATGATTATGTAATGAATTTGTTGATCCATAGATCATCATCATTGTATCAGGATCTGGATGTAGATTATTATTATTAATAATATTATGGTTATCATTTGTATCATTATAGCCTGATGTAATCATTGTTGTTGTGGATAAATTATCAAAGTTTTCATTATTATTATGATTAATATTATGGCCATCGATTGATTGTGTATTTAAAATATTTTTTATTGCAGCAATATTTTTTTGTTGTTGTTGTTGTTGTTTCTGTCTATTGTTGTTGTTGTTGTTGGATTTGTTTTTCTCTATTGAAAAAAAACATATTTGTTATTTAAATGAAATTTGGTTTTCAAACTTACTTTTCGTTATTTTTTCATTCAATATTTTTGTAGATTTGGTTTTCGTTGTTGTTGTTGTTGTTGTTGTTTGAGGTGTATTTGTTATCGACGATAATGGATCAATATTGTTATTTATCTGTGATAATTTTATCGATTTATGATCAATATGATTATCCAAATTAACAATTCCATTTGAAATAATAATTTCATCCGTATTATTATTATTAATCATATCGATTGAATTATTATCAACATCTTGTATTAATATTGATTTTGATGATGATATGGATGCGGATGTGGATGATAAAGAAGATGATGATGATGCAGATGATAATGGATTTGAAGTCATCATTAAAGAATTATGTTGTTGTTGTTGTTGTTGACTATTCAATGGATTAATTAACATTTGGTCAATTAAAAGCTGATGTTCTAAACATTCAGCTTGGCTAAAATGTTTATATTAAAAATTTTCAAATTTAAAAACAAGTCAAAACAAAACAAACAACATTTACCTTAAAACATAATTAACACTAACAATACAATGTGGTCTTGATGAACGGCTATTATGTACAATTGTTGCATATGATTGCATCCAAATCCAACCGAATGGTTTGGCCATAAAACGATAATATTTGGTTGTTACCTGTCCTTTGTTCAATACTATATATAAGTAAGTATAAAAGTAAGAGTAAAAAAAGGTAAGTGAAACAACAACAACAACAACAACAACAACACTTACATGTTTGATGTGCGATACGCATCATTTCCAAATCACTACCATGAATATAATGATATAATGTTTTTTCAATCAAATCTTGTGGTTCATAACCGGTTAATTGTGAAACTCTATAATATAAAGAAAAAAAAAAGAAGTTTTCATTTCCTTCCCATTTGGTAATTACATTACATTACAACATACTTAGCATCAAGAAATATTAATTTTAAATCAAGACTAGCACGAAACATAAACATATTGCTATACATTTTTATTTCAGTGATTGCACTTGGTGGTAATGAATGTCCAACAGCAACTAGACCTAAATTTTGACAACAACAACAACATTGATCAACATGATGATCATCATTATTGATCGCTGATTTTGTATCCGTCGTATCCGTTGTTGTTGTTGTTGAATTAACAAAATGTCGTTGACGAATTTTAACATAACCACTACAATGTATAACTTTATAACCACCTGATGTAAGACCTGCATTACGTTTAGCTAATACACATTTCATACGTAAAAAAAATGATTTTTCCATTTCATTAAATGTATAATAATAATGTTGATGATGATTATTTGGATCAGAATTTGCTGATTGATTTGATAAATTTTTTAACAAATCTGTATCCGAATCTGCAATAATTTCATTACAATTATCCATTATTGTTGTTGTTGTTGTTGTTGTTGAATTTTGTTCACGTTTAAATTTTTTACGTATATTTGTATCAAATATTAAATCATTATCAGGATTATTACTGAATTCATCATTATTATTATTGATTTTATCAACAAAACAATTTGTAGATGTTGTTGATGATTGTTTTAAATAATTACATATTGTTGAACTATTACTATTATCTGCACTTGTCCAGGATTTATTACTGGGGGAGGGGGAAAAGATTTTTATGAAAATCAATCACTAAATCAATCAAATGAATCAAAACAAACCTTAATTGATCTTTGGAAGCGATAAAATCATTATTATTATTATTATTATTCATTGTAAACATTGTTTCACCATTAAAATTTGGATCAGAATTTTGTTGTTGTTGAAAATAACCACTAAATATTCCATTAGTTGTTTCATTAAAATTTTGTCCTTTTTGTAATAATAATAAATTTTCATCAATTATCGTCGATGATGATGATGATGGTTGTTGTTGAATTTTATGATGTGAACAACCATTTAATACGGAATTCATTTCTTCATGATCGGCTGGATGTATATATTCATAGATACTGTTACCAGTTAATTCAACCTAGATTTAAGGTAAAAATGGAAGGGTATATATATATAATGAAAATCATTAATGATTATTTTAAATGTTCAATTAATTTTAAATAAATTCTCACAACTTGTGATAAACCAAGATGAACTGATGCTGTTTCCGATATATACATAATTTTTCCATTCGGTGCAACAACAAATACAAAACCATCCAATGTTTGCAAAAGATGTGATCCAAGTTCACGTATTGATGATTCATATGGATTTTGTGGTGGTGGTTTTGTACCCCAACAATCACCTAATCCTATTGGACAATTCAGAAAACAAAACAAAACAAAAAAAAATGACAACCAATTTAAAAATTTAGAAAAAAAAACTAGAAAATTAGAAAAAATTCTGGAAATTTTTTCCATCATCATCCTCGTTTTCGTATCGAATTATGAATGTTGTAATTGGCTTCGTCAAAACTACAACAAACTAACGAACGAACGAACGAACAAACAAGCAGTCAAGCGATCGATTATATTGATCACTGGATTCTTTTTTCTAAACTCGCGTGGCTCAAATTTTTCTCAAAACAAAATCCCTCCTAGTGATTTTTATTTTTTTTCTGGATGCATAAAAATTTTCAAAAAATCAAAATCAAAATCAAAATGAAAACGAAAACAACAACAACATAACACAGAAACACATAAAATTTCATCTCGTTAGCAAATCATTATCATCATCATTTGTTCTTCAATTATACATATTGCGCATGTTATACATTTGATTTTGATTATTATTATTATTATTATTACAGCAAAATCTCGTGACAATATTATTACGATAATGGACACGTGTCTTGTTCTCGAACATAGCCAAAACACAATTCTCAAGCAATACCAAATAGTTTCTTGTTTTTCTTTACAAATAATAAGAGAAGAATCTTTTTTTTTCTCGAAATCATCATCATTATTGTAGAATGTTTGTATGGATTTGCAAAAGCAAAAAAAGAAGAAGAAAAAAATTCTACCGGAAAAAAACAAGGACATTCTGTTTTTTTTTCTGGTTCCTTACTTACTTTTTATTGTTTCAATTCATATTTCATATTTCAAATGGATTCTTGCTTTGTTTCACCCATCATCATCATCATCATTGGATCAAAGAGAGGAATCCAAAAAGAGAATAATGAATGAATATTGCACACACACACACACACACGAAAAAAACAAAACAAAAAACACAGTAAGATGGATTGATGGATGGATGCTTGAATGAAATAACAAGAATAATGATCATCATCATCATCATCATCAAAATTTGAAGTATATGATGTACTGGATGATTGTTTTGTTTTGTTTTGGTTTGAAACGAAAAAAAAAATTTCATTCAATTGAATTGAATGATGGATTTAGATCTTCAAATTTTCTCTCTCTCTCTCTCTCTTATTTTTTTTGATGATTACAATTAATTATGATTAATTTAATTGGATCATTATCGTCATCATCATCGTCATTATAATTATCTTTTTTTTTTTGGGAAAAACTTTGATTCAATCATCGACAACAACAACGATAATGATTAGTTTTTTACTGTGTTTTTATATATTGTTTGTTTGTTTGTTTGTTTGTTTGGTTGTTGTCCATTTGTGTTATCAGCAATTAATGTTAATGAATTTTGATACTTGAAAATTCGAGTGATGATGATGATGATGATGATGAAAAATACTTGAAACTTATCCTTCTCTCTTCATCTTTACATTTTTCTTTGGTTTTCGCAACAACGTTGTTCATTTTTATCATTTCAAACAAAAGAAAAATAATGGTAACAAGAATTTGTCCCATTCACATAAGTAGTGTAAATGTAGTTTCTTTTTGTTGAAATAATTTTGTTTCATTTTGTGTGTGTGTGTTTCCAAATTTAAAAACATTCAAACCAACACACACACACAGACAATATTGAATTGGATTTCCGTTTCTGTTTATTATACAAAAATGTTAGACATAATCATAATTTACTTTTTGGATCATCATTATCGTCATAGACATCAATATGGCTGATTTTTATTTTTGGTTCTTGTTGGAGAAGGGTGGGTAGAAATAGGCAAAAATAAAATAAATGTATCACATTTATTTTTTTGGCTCTTATTTCGGGGAAAAAAAGTATTCAAGTTTACTCATCATCTTATGTAATTGTATTGAGGAGATAGAGAAACAAAACAAAAAACTGTGTGTGTGCAAAATAAAATCTCAAACAAACACAAACAGAAAAAAAAATGGTAAATAAGCAGGGAAACACAAAATCAACCATAGATAGATAAATTGAAGAACATAAGATTTGCACATCTAATACACATGTATAGATAGATAGATAGATAGAAAAAACAATCATTGTGTAGTATGTAAACAATACATTTGTTAGAATTAATGTCGAAAAAATATACAGACACAACAGATTTTTTGATGTTTGATCATGGATAAGGATACCAATATTTTTTTTGGAGCGCATCATTCTATTGAATCACTAGATAGATAGATAGATAGATGTTCTTGTTCAAATTTCCTATTTCTACTCTCTATTCTATTTCAATCAGTCAGCACCGGGAAAGAACAAAAATTTATGGAAATTTTCTTATTTCATTTTTTTTCTCATTATTATTACGATGAATATCATCATCATCATCATAATGTTTGGCACCCCCCTTTGAAATAAAAAATTTGTTTTTTGTTTTTCTTTTCTGTTCCTAATTATTTGTTGACATTATCTATCTATCTATCTCTTTATTGAGAAAAAACCGTTTGAATTTTCTTTTCTTGTTTTCGTTCATTGAATTCGCCGATTCATTGATGATGATGAAGGAAAACAAAATGATTTTCTTTTCTTTTTTTTTCCAATCGAAATCTGTATAGTGTATGTGTGTATGGGTGTAAATAGTGTACATAAGTGATTATAGCCCATCATCATCATAGTCAATATTTTATGTGTGTATTTTTGTCGGGCAAAATAGAGAAAAAAAATGCGGTTATTATTATATATTTGATCGAGTGACAGTGACGGTAATACCCGACAAAGTGAATAGGAAAGTTTCTCGTTTTTTTTTTCTCTCGATATTTTTGTCCATAAAAAAAAAATCCAGAACGATTCATATTATGGATGCAAAAAAAAAGCGAAACGAAGCAAAAAATTATTATCATTATTTATCGTTGCACACACACACAGAATATTTGAAAATTTAAACAACAAAAAAAAGAGTTGCACCAAAAGAAAAAAAACTATGTTCAATACTCTGATCATGGAACTGCATCGATAAAATTTGATTTTTGAATTTTTTTAAACAAAAAAAAAAAAATTTTCAAAAAATTCATAGACATGATTATTATGATCGTGTTTATGCATTTCATATATTGCATAACAAACAAACAAAATGATATGTAAAAATTCATTCGTCTACGTTGTTGTTACATGATCGATAACCGAATCACTGAAATTGATTTCAATTTTGATCATAAGGTTTTTTTTGTTTGTTGTTTGTTTTAAAATTTAGTATTTTTTTTTTGTTTTGTTTGTTTAAACAAGAAAAATAGATTCCTTCATCATCATCATTTGTGGAAATGGACGATTTCCAATTTGTTACAATCCTCAATTTTGATGATGATGATGATGTTAAGCTGATTAACCAAAATGAACAACAGTCAATCAATTTCAAAAAAAAGAGAGAGAGACAGAGCAAGAAAAAATCTACAACACGTGGACCATCATCAACCATCATCATCAAATAAACCAGAAAAACCAGAAAGTCAAAAGAATGAAAGAAAAAATCCGGATCAATTTTTTTGATACCGGTAATACCATCATCAAAATCAACATAAACTAGATTGACTTAATTGATATCCGATTAAACATTACATAACAGATTTTTTTTAACAGTTTAAGGGGATGTGTTTAACACAAAAGAAAGAAAAACCACAACATCAATAACAACAACAACAACATCGACAGATTACATTATCTATTTCAAATGTTTTTCGTTTTTGGTTTTGTTTGTGTATATTGCCTTTGTATGTGAAAAATGAATGAATGAATGAAATGGATTGGATGGATGGATGGATGGTTGGTTGATGTTTATAGTGTGAGAAACGATACCATAAAAAGCTGTAATTGTGTTGTTGGATACCCAAAAAAAAAAAATATAAACCTATTAGATCAAACCAGCAAAAACCACCACCAAAAGAAAAAAAAAACATATTGACATTTGAGATTTTCTCGTTGTTTATCTATCTATATTTCTGCAAAACAAAACAAAAACAAATTTAGCCAAACAGATTATTATTATAAAAAACATCGATCTATTTGATGATGAAATTAACAAACCACACAAAAAAATGAAATGAAATAAAATGAAAAATCATCATCCATCAATTAAACATTATGGTGATTTTGTTTTTCAGGAAAAAAAATTGAAAAATTTTCCTGAGAAATTTACCTATTTTGGGTAATGTTTCTGTTGAATTTTTTTTTGCACATTTAACGAGCAATAATGTTTGACTATTTCTGTATTGCAAAAATTTTATTTGATTGATTGATTGATTGATCGATTGGACATCATTTTCATCATCATCAACCTGATGATGATGACAACCAGAAAAAAAACGACAACAACAACAAATTGTTTCAGTTTAGTTTGAATGAATGATGGTGATGGAGATGAAAAAGTTTTTTTTTCATGATCTTTGAACATTCAAATCAAACCTGTAAAACAAAAAACAAAACAAATATAAATCAAATCAAACCTGAACTAACCAAATTTGAAAAACAAAAAAAATTATGATTAAACTTTTTTGCTTGTTTGATAAAACTCATTACAATTTATTTATCTATGTCTGGTATTCTTTGTTGTTGGTTATTCTTTCGTCTCTTAGGAGTTTTTGTTTTTCTGCCTTTTTTTCTCAACCAGATATGGTGAAAGAATTTTGAAAATAACAACAGCCAACAATCAAACAATCAAACAACAATCAAACAACAACAACAAAATAATTACAAACTAACTAAAAACCAAAAAAAAACCAAAATGTTTTTGTTTCTAGGTCTACCATCATCACCACCACAATCACCAATCCAAGTCAAAATTTTTGAAGAATGATAGAAAGAAAGAAAGAAAGAGAAAAATAAATCAAAAAAACAAAAACAAAAATTACATTATACAAATTTTGTTTTGTTTCTTCATACATTTCATAACACACTATACACACAAACATACAAATCAAATCAAATGTTATCAGCGCCCAAAACACATTATATATTTCTTGTTTGGGTAAATGTAAAAACATAATAATCATTTTTTTTTTTTTTTTTGGGTGACCACATTGGTTCAAAGGTTCATTGTTTCAAGTTGTTGTTGTTGAACTTTGATCTAGAATAAACAACAACAACAAGGTGAAATTCATTTTGGGAAACAAAAAGAATATTTTATGAATTAAAAATGGAAAAACTAAAAATGAATTTGAAATTGTAATGAGCCATATCCACATGTTCATCAGGTATTCATCATTTTGGGAAAAAAAATGGAAATTTCATTCGTTTTACATGTTTGAAGAAATTATCCATGAAAAATGTGGTCTACTGTTTTTTGGTTTCGGTAGTTTCAAATCATTTTCTGTCACTTTTTTTTTCTAGTCTAGTTTTTAGCAAGAATTATTTATTGAAATTTAATTTACTTTGACTTGGGACATGTGTGACATTCCCTTTGACTGAGAGAAAGCGCGCGCGTTTTTTGATTTTCAAAATTCAAAACAAAAATGCTTTCGACCTTCATGGCTCGTTTACTTCTACACAATCATTGATGATGACAGAATCAACCGAACCAAACCAAACCAAACCAAACCAAAAAGAAAAACAAGAAGCATGTATTTTTCCATTCGAGAAAAAAAATTGATTGCCCTTTAAATTTCTCCAAAAAAAATTTGCTGAGCAATTTCTATCATCATCATCATCATTGATATCCGAATATGTATCATTCATTTTGTTGTTGTTGTCACATTACAAACTTTATAGATTTTTTTTGGTTTCGAAAAAATAGCAATTCATCATTCGATGAAAATGTTTGTTCAATGCTTGGTTTGATGTTGTTGTTACAACACACACACACAACACACAATTTGCAATTGGTCAATACTACACTGATTGACTGCAGTACTAAAAATGAAATTTCACATAGTCATAGTTTTTTTGTTTCGTTTATTGCCATTGAATTTTTTGTTATGTTTTTGCTTTGGTTGTTTCCTTTTCAAAAACTAATTTAAATTTCTAATCAACTTTTTTTTATAGTTATAAATTTTCATTTAATAATAACAAAACAGCAAATTGCAATTATTGAATGATTGAATGGAGAAATTTCGCGCAATTTCATTCATTTTCTCTCTCTCCTCTCGAATAAAGAATTCTTGCCTCTAGTGTTTTTTTTTGAATTGTCATTCTGTAATGCAGAATAATCGACCTTGTCCTAGTGACAATGGCCAGAATTTTGTTGATTTTGAAATTAATTATTCGATTGATTGATTTGATTGAATATATCGATTTACTTACCATCGGGAAATACAGCACGCATTTTAAGATATGATGTTGTTAAACGTATAATTGATGCTTTATCCAATTGACTTGTTATTGCTGATGGTAATGGTAATAATTTTGCTAATTCTAAAAATTCGGCATTTTCTTTCTCGCGTCTTGAGCGAGCTGCATTTTTTGATTTTTCTTTCATCATGAGGAGATTTTTTTTGTTTTGTTTTTTCTCTTGATTTGGATTATTTTTTTAAAAAAACAAGCACAGGGCACATGTTAACAATGAAACAAACAGAAATTCAAATTTCAAATTGAAAAACAATCAAAGTATCCAACCAACCAACCAACCAACTAAACAATTTCAAAAACACACCAATCACAATTTTGATGAATATTTTCAACAAAAACAACAAATGTTTCGAATTTGTTTGTTTGATAATTTGATTTTAGATCATTTTGTTGTTGATATGATTTAAAAAAAACAAATTAACCAGGTTTGAAATATCATTGAATCAATCGTCAATTTTGTCGTTCGATGTGTGTGTGTAAAACCACCAACAATAATAAAGAATCCTTTTTGAAAAAACAAATTCAAATTGGAAAAGAAAAAAAAACCATTGAAAAACATCCCGAATGAATTGATCGAAGAAGAAATGCCGCCCATTTTTGTTTCCTACTCTGTTCTCTCTCTCTCTCTCTCTCTCTCTCTCGCTTTTCTCATTTAACTTTACTTTACTTTTACATTTTAGCTATCTCAAAGTGTGTTGGGATTTTGTTTGGTTCAGAATAATAATCATAAACCGATTCTTTCATTCAACCAAACTGCATTGATCATTGATGATGATGATCGACCCTGCCCTATTTTCTTTTTTGATATTGGTGACGCCTTCGAATTTTTTATTACAACCAATCACAGAACCAAATATCAGTATTTACTAAAAAAAATTACTGCTACCACTTACTATACTACACACATGTGCATCATAAACGTTGATAGCATCATCATCGTTTGTTTTTTTTATAAACGCCAAACCCAAATGTTGTATGTTTCGGCTCTGTTTTTCTGTTTCTTGCTTCGGCAGTAACTAACTAAAATAACGCTAAATCGTAAATGAATTTTGAATTGAAATAATTTTACCTTGTGTAATCATATAATGGTGATGAACGAATTTTCTGTAACAAAAGCAAAAACGCATAGAAATTATCGATTTTTTCTTTTCGTTATAAAATGTTTATCTTTATTCATTTTGTTCATAAAATAATTAAAAATGATGATGATAAGAATGATTCTTTTCCATCATCAAACATCATCAACAAACATCAAACATTAACATTTGTTTAAAGGATATTTATTATTACAATCAAACAGGATTTAATGCTTTTAAAAAAAAAAATCAAAAATCAAAAATTCTTTCTATGTTCGTGTTGTATCATTTATTCATTCATTTTTTTCTTGTAATATAAAATATGATTAGAAAATCGATGAAAAAAAAAGAGAGGAAAAAATCAATCAAATTAGCCATTATTATTATTTTATAATCAAATTAAAAAGCACAGAAGAAGAAGAAAAAAAACTAAACAAAAATGTAATCCATATTTAGAAATATATGTTTTGTATTTTATAAACAAAAAAAGGTAAAGGTAAAGGTAAAATTATTATTGTTATAATTATAATTATTTTTTTAAAAAAAATCATTCAAATATATTTATATTTATAATATAAATGTTTTTTTTTGTTGTTTGTAATAATATTATTATTTATATATATTTTCTTTAATCAAAATTTAAAGATTATTAGATAGAGAGAATATATTTTGCTTGCTTTTTGCTTGTTTTACTTGCTGTTGTTTTTTTTTGTTCATATTTATAATTTGTTTGTTTGTCTGGTTTTTTCAAAATATTTATATTGGATTGAGTATCAAATCAAATCAAAAAATAAAAAGAAAGAGAAAAATGAAAAGAACAAAAGTGAAAAAGAAAAGATTTTTAAAAAAATTTCTGTTATGAAGAAATGAAATGAATGCGTAGTGTTTGTCGGTGTGTGTGTGGGTGTTTTGAATGTGAGTTTTTTATTTCCTGCCAAAAATTAAAGAATTGATTATTGGTGATCGATGATCGGTGATCGGTGTTGATGGAGGGGAGAAACAAAAAAAAATTCAAAGCAAAGTTTCAAATCGATAGATGGAGCCAGGTTGCTTGATGATTTTTTTTTGTTTGAAAATTTTTTTTTTCTCATTTACCACAATGATATAAAGATTTGATTAGGGATAGGAAACGAAACAAACGGAAAAAGTAAAGTAAAAAAAACTATTACAAATTATTTTGGATTTTGTTGTTTGACTGACTGACTGACTGATCTGATGTGTGTGTGTGAATTTCAAATTTTAAAAATTTTGCATTGAAAAAAAAGGCTTTGAACAACAAAAATCGATAAAAATGTGAAAAAATAGTTTGTTTTTTGAGATTTTTTTTGTTGTTTTTTTTGTTTTTTGGTTTTAGCTTCAATTCATTGTAATGTAACGATAAATGATTTATAGATGAAATTAAGAAAAGGTGAGGTTTATATGGTGACGAAACAAAATACGTATGTAATGTGTTTGTTTTTTGTTTGTTTTGTTGATCGGTGGTCGGTTTGGTTGGGTAAAATTAGTTTAGGTTAGGTTAGGTAAAGGTTGATAGATAGAAAACGATAGTAAGGTAGAAAACGATTGTTTTGTTTTTATAGCTATAATTTTTTGTTGCTGTTGATGTTTTGCATGATGAATAATGTTTAAATGATTGAATGTTACGTTATGTTTATGTTAATGGAGCTGAATGAATGAATGAATTATGTGATTAGAAATGTTGATTGATAGATAATAATCAAGAAAAAAATTGATTGATTGATTGATTTTTGTGAAGAAAAATCAAAATCAATTGAAAAATTTGAATCATTTTCTTGAATTTAAAATCTTTAGATTAATACCATTATCACTTTCCAATGAATTTTGGCTTAAATTATGTCTTAATTGATTTGATATAAAATGATTAACAGCAGGATTAATATATTGATTTTCATTTCTATTATTAACATCATCATCATCATCACTATTTTCATCATCTTCATCATTACGTAATGCAATTTGTGATTCACAATGTAATGGTGCATGACCATGTAAATGTAAATGTAATGGATTTGTATGTTTTTTTGATCCACGATGATGATGTTTTTTTGTTTTTTTAATCATTTTTCCATGATTATTACTTCTATTATTTTTATTATTATCACTACTATCATCATCATCATCATCATCCAAATCATCATCATCATCATCGTCATCATCACCGAAACGTGGTGGTACCCTAAAAACAATAGAAAACAAAATAAATTCAATCCAATTCAATTTGATCAATCAATCAATTATTTACCATTTTGGTGATGGACGTGTTAATATAAGCCAACGCTATTGAAAGAAAAGAAAAATGAAAAATATGATAAGAATATTGAATATTTTAAGTAATAAAGTGAATATCTTACCTCATAAAAACTACCATGAGGATATGTAAGAATTTTAAATAAAGCATAAACAGGTATAGCTGCAATCGATAACATTGATAATGACCAACCAACAATTGATGCCCAACCAGGATATACATAGCTACCATATGTTGACATTTCATATTCGATCACAGTCGATATGAATAAACCCTATTCGAGAAAAATAAAATGAAATTTTCAAATCCAGACAATAGATGGCATATAATTTGCTTCAAAAAAAAACTTACACCCAATATTGTCGGTGTTATAAATATCCAGATAAATTTCCATAATAATGGAAACATTGGAAATGAGCCTAACATTTTTTGTGAATTTCTTAAAAATTTATCAATACCATATACCCAAACGATAACATTCAATTCAACAAAACCAATCATAATGGCCGAAATACTTGCACAATGATCATCCATTAATTGTAATATATAGATACCAGCCTATTTGGAACAACAAAAAAAAAATATTAAAAGAAATTTTCTATAAAAAAATCAATTTATCAATTGTCCATACATGTGTACTAAGTATTAGACCAAATATAAAAAATGTAAAACAAGTCATCATTAGAATACGACGTTTAATTTGACGATTTGGTCGATTGAAAAACATTTCCGATACAGTACTGGCAACTGATTCAATCAATGTAAATTGTGTACCAAAACCTAATGTTGATAACATAACAAAAAATATTATAGCCCAAAATCTAGCAACCGGTAATCTTGATACAGCTTCTGGATAAACAATAAATGCTAAACCAGCTCCTAAAATAAAGAGAAAAAAAATATATGATTTCAAAAGAAAATATACATTTACAAAATACAAAAATACCTTGCGTTACAACATCTTTAACTTCACGACCCATTTCATGAGCCATAAAACCAATTATCGAAAAGATAACAAAACCGGCATAAACACTTGTTAAACAATTACCAATCGATATGTAAAATGCATCCCTTTTTTAAAAACAAAAATTTCAAATTAAAAATTATCCAAACCAAAAAAGAACATTTAATTTTAAAAAAATTTACTTGAGAAAATTATGCCTAAGACTATTGCCTTTGGCCAATGTTATAATACCACCCCAACATGGTGATAATGAAAAGAATATTTGCATTGCTGCATCGGACTATTTTATATATGTTTGAAAATTAAAAAAATTTCAAAAATTTGATTCAATTGAAACAATTCAATATATTTACCCAAACATGAACATGTTTTAAACGTTCCCATTCTGGACTCATATAGAAACTAATACCATCGGAAGCTCCATTCAAAAATATACAACGTAACAATAAGATTGTCAATACAACATATGGAAATATTGCCGTAAAATATGCCGACTAAAATAGATTTTTTTTTTTGGTCAATGAAAAAAATTTGTCAAAAATCAAAATATCAACACGAAGAAAAAAACGAATACCTTTCCCATTGATTTTAATCCATTATAAAGACAAGCAAATACAATAGCCCAACAAATGAATAAACAAGCTGCAAGATCCCAACGTATACCAATTAGATCATCAATACCGGAACTCATACCCAATATTTTATTACTTAAAACAATAAAAATAAAATTAAAAAATTTACATTTAAAAATAGATAAAATAAGTGAAACAAAAAAACTTACTGAAAATATTCATCACTAGGCATTCGTGAATTTTCCAACGTATATTTATACCAAACATCATCATGTATGGTACAATTAATTAGGCCAGTATTTTCAATAAAATGTATTGGATTAATACCATAATCAATAACATTTGTATTATTTGTTATAAAAAAACATTGTCGATGCATACAGGTACCATCATGTAACATTGTACCATTTGTCATTGTACAATTTGCTGGATCAAATCTTAAACATTCTTTCATAATTGAATAAATGAATGAATGAATGAATGAATGATAAAACAACAAAAATTGAGAATTTGAAAATTGGAAAATTATTTTCAAATATAAATATAAATATATAATATAATATACCATTAGTATTCCATGGATGACCACATGTATCCCAATCAATATCATAAAATAATGCTGTTATTAAATAACGTACAGCCCATGCAATAACCATATTATAATATATTGATACTAAACCGGACATAACACACATTGCATAACCAATACCAGTAAATAATGGTGCAATAATCCATACTTTTACTGGACTACTTTGCATATATTGACCAAATGAAAATTCCAATACAAATAATGGTATTCCCACAAAAAATAACATTATAAAGTATGGTACAAAAAAGGCACCTATGTTTGTTTGTTTGTTTGTTTGTTTGTTTTGGTTGGTTGGTTTGGTTTTGCAAAAAATAAAATTGAATTTTTCTTATTGAATTTTTATTTATTTTATTTATTTATTATTTACCTCCGCCATTACGGTAGACCAAATATGGGAAGCGCCAAATATTACCCAAACCAACAGCATAACTTAATGATGCTAATAAAAATTCTGTATAGCTACCCCATTCTTTTTTCTTTAGATCAGATTTTAATGATGTAACCGGTTCTTCATCATTATCATTGGGCATTTCTGGATCCATTAGATCACAGTTTATTATTTGTTCTTCCTTTTTTTATTTGTAAAAAATTAAAGAGAAAAAAAATGAAAATCATTATAAATTTTTTCAAAATTACAAGAAATATTAAAACATAAAAATGAAAATATAAAGATAAAGAAAAATCAAAAATCAAAAATCAAAACCGAAAAAACAATAAATTGAAAAGCAAATTCTTGTTTTTTAATCATTTTGATGATGATGATGATAATGATGATGAAAACAGGAACCAAACCAAACCGAAAATTAACAAACTTGAAAATGATTATTTTTTTTTTCTGAAAATTTCAAACCAAGAAAAAAAAAACAAAAATTTTATTCCTGCAATTCATCCATTCACCTACACATTTCATCGAATGACTTTGTTATTAATTTTTGTTGTGAATAAAAGTGATGAAATATCATTTTCATCAATGTAACAAACTAAAATATGGAAAAAAATCATCAAATTTTTGAGAAATGTTTCCGGAAATCAGATGATGATGATGATTTGTTTGTTTTTTCACTGTCTTTCTCATTCTTTTTTCAGCAATTTTTTTAAAATACAAATTTTCATTATTTAGGCTAAAAAATGATTAATTAATTAATTGAACATCCTTGAACTTTTAAAATGAAAAAAAGAAAAAGTAAACTTATAAAATGATGATAATGACATGAATAATTTGTTTTTGCATCTGATATTAATTATTTTTTAAAGAAATTTTTTCTAAAAAAAAATGACCAGAAAAAAAACTAATTAATTAATTATAATTATATTCTGGTAATGATAATGATGATCATCATCATAATCAATTATTATCTATTTAATTTGAAAATAATTTAATGGCGTCAACAAATTAATTTATCAGTTGGTTGGTTGATTAAACACACACACACAAGGAGATAGTCAAAGGATTCTGATGTTGTTCCCCCCTCTCCAAGAGAAAAAAAAAACACAATGCAGAAACAAAATTGACTATATCAAATATCATTTCTGTTTCATTGTTTTGTTTGTTCGTTTGTTTGCTTCTTCATTTTTTTTTTCATTATTTATAAAAATAGCCTGACTGGAACCATTTATAAATGCTGTTGTTGTTGTTGTTGTTTATTCAGAATCATCATCATCATCATCATCAACATGATTATCGATTGTTATTTTTTTGTGAAAAAAAGGCACACACATACAGAAAAAAAAGTGAACAAAAATCGATTATTATTACACAATCATCATCATCATCATCATCTATTTTGGGAACCAAAAAAAAAAAGTCAATTGATGACGCTATAGGGTAGTGTGTGTTTGTGTGTGTATGCGGTTTGAACAGAGCATTGACTAACAGAATTTCTATTCTTTTTCATTTTCATTTGTTGTTGTGATACTGGAATCAATATAAAGTACACACACCAGACACACACACAATAACAATCATGAAAGAATTAGATTTGGCACACATAGAATTTTCTTTTCTTTTTTGTTGTTGATTATCTTGTTTTTGTTGTTGTCTTTTTTTTCGTTTTGAATACCTGTACCTGTATTAGTATAGAATCGGAATTCTGCGTGACTTGATGTTTTTTTTTTGGTTTGGTTTAGTTTGATCTAGTTTCCTTTTTATTTTGAAACCTTAAACCACCTTAAGATATTGATGATTTCAAAAAATTTGATTTTTCAATTTTCTTCCGGAAAGAATGACGACACTAAAGAAAAAAAAACCGAAAGAGAGAGAGAGAAAGAGTGAAAGACACATCAAATGTCTACAACAACAACATTTGACACTAAAAAATTTTATAACAGAATTTGGTTATTTTCCTTTACCCGATTCTTTATTATATTTATAATTAGAGAATAAAGGCAACAACAAGCAATAAAAAATAACTAAACTAAAAATTCATTACACAGTAGATGTAATATGTGTGTTTGTAAACACTCATTTCATTCATTCAAAAAAAAACGATTGTTGTTGTTGTTTTTTGATAAAAACAAATGTATAGACGTTGAATGAATGAATGAAAATTGAAATAATTCTTAGTTGAAAGAATTTCTTTCCTTAAAGAATCAAGAAAACTGAATAAGATAAAAATATTTTTTTTGTTGTTTTGAAAGAAAAACAAGTTTCGTTTCGTTTCGTTTTTTGGCTTATGGCCGAAAAAAAACAAAACAAAACAAAACGATGTAATCACTAAAACGATGACTATGATTTACCATCATTGATGATAATCCAATAAGAAAGATTTCAACCAAAAAAAAAAAGAAACCGAAGAAATATATCACAGACAGAGGGAAATTTTCATCAATTTTTTTTGTTGTTGACAGTCAAGGTATCCAAGTCATCATATTACTTACAATATTTTCATTCGATGAAATTGGTGTAAAATTGGTCATCTTGTTGTTGTTGTTGTTGTTGTTGATGATAATCGTTGTAATTTTATTGTATTTTTATTTGTTGTTGTTGTTGTTGTTGAAATTAATTTTTCTTCATTAAAATTTAATTGAATAATGGGCGTTATTGTTTTCATTGGCCCTTTTAAAAACCAACTATTAGAATTATACAAACACAACAAGAAGCAAAAAAAAGTTCACAAAATGGATTCAAAGAGTTATTATTATCGTCGTTGTGTAAGAAGCATTCTTTTTATTTTTCCAAATTCAAATTAGGCAAATTTCCTGATAATGGTGATAAAACAAAACAAAACAAAACAAAAAATTAATTAATTAGAAATTTTTTTTTTCAATTTCTTTAAAATCACTATTATTATATTCAAAATATGATTGATTGATTCAAATCTTTTTCCTCTGTTCATTTCATTGAAATGTCATTTTGATTTGATATTAACATGCAAACCGAGAAGAGGCAGAAGGAAAAAAAACCCCGAACCAAACAAATTTGTTCAAGGATATAATAATGATGATGATGATGAACATTTACGGTATCTAACGAGTAAATGTAAAATGTTTTTTCTCTCGTGTCCTAGGTAACATACACCTCATAGACATACATACGACACACATGTAGGTATTATTTCATTTTAATATTCGATGATCATCATCTATCATCATCTATCAAAACTATCAGTGTGTGAGAAAAAAAAAAGAAAAGAAGACCGAGAATGATCAAATGATATATGTTTTTGAAATCTAATGGATGTTGTTGGTAACTAATAACAATTTTGCATCGAAAAAAAAAACTTTTTTCTTGTTTCTTGTTTTTTGTTATTCGGTTCGTTTGAATGGTTTTTCATGGAAAAAAACCAAAAAAAAAAAAAAAAATTTAATTTGTTTTTTTTTTGAAAAAAAACCAATTCGATGATTGTTTGATTGAAATTATATATTGATCATAAACAACATTAACTACAAAAAACAAAACTAAATTAAATTTGCTTACATTTAGCAAAAAAAAAAATATCATCAAACAAACGGCATGATTTTTCAATGATTGAAAATAATAATAATTATTCTGGAATTGTTTTTTTTGTTGGTTGATTTAAGCCCTGAATAATAATAATAATAATCTGGCCCGTTTGATTCAGGGGATTTTCCAGATGATTTAGATGTTTTCCCAGCCAATGACGATGATGATGATTATGGGTTAAATTATTTATTGATTTGATTTGTTGTTGTTGATTTTCGATAAGGCCAACGATCTTTATCTTTGATTGAAGAAAATTTTATTTCGTCATTCAATGTAGAATTTTTTTTAACAAAAATACATGGAATATTCTTATTCTTATTCTTATTATTGACTTGAAAAAGTTTTTTTTTCTGATTTTTGATTTTTTCAAAAATGAAAAGAAAATCAATAAAACACAACAGTTACATAATTGATGACGTTGATGATTATCGAAAAAAAATAACCCGGAAACTTGAATAGTCAAAGTAGTAGTAGAAGAGGAAAATGATAAACCAACCGTAGAATGAAATACAGAAGCAGAGAGAGAGAGAGATAGGAAAAAGAAATCAATCAATTAAATAATCAATCGATCATTCGATTCTTAATCAATCAATCCATCATAATTAATCAATTAATTAGTTAACGGATGAAAACACAAATGCACACACACACATACACAACAAACATTTGACCATACAGGTAGTAAACATAGAAAAACAATAATCAAAAATAGGCCATTAGAAAAACAAACAAAAAACAAAGAAAGAAGAAAGAAAATTCACTAACAACGTAACACACTAATAGTAGAATCAATTAATGTTTTGAAAACTTTTAAAGTTTCTGGACAGTTTTTTTCTGGACAAGAAGATTATATGTAGGTATTTATAGTTATTGATCACAAAATAAAAATCAATCAATCAATCAATAAGTATGGCAGATAGCAAAATCACATTCAAAAAATAGAATATTCTTGTTTTGTTTTTTTTTGTTTATAAACCTGATTTGTTTTCAATGAAAAAAATTCAATTTCATCAAGAGGAATAATGATGATTATTACGAGTGAAAACTGATATAGAATATCAACAATAATAAAAAATCAACAAAGATTATGATGATGATGATGATGATAATCTAATCCTGTATGTCTAGATAAATGCACAGAATGTTGTTGTTGTTGTTAATGAATGAATGAATCAATGAATGAATGAATGAAATGAAATGAAATTGGTTGACATACAAATTTTCCTATTTTTTTTTTGCAATAATAATAATAATAATAATAATAATTTTTTTCGTTTTAACCAAAAACGCAAAAATCGTAGTGGTAATCATGATCATCATCAACATCATGATAGTGATGATGATTTTGTTGTTGTTGTTGGTGGTGGTAGTCAATTCAGTCAAATATTCTTCTATATATGATATGATGAAAACAGAAAAGGAAGAGGAAAAAGAATCTCTATATATACATTTTCTTCTGGTCTCTGTTTCTCGGTGTGTTTCTGCATTTACAATTGAAAACTTGATGTTGATGAAAAAGAAGAAAGAATCGGGTTAATAAAGTCGCACGATTCTTATGTTGTTTTGTCCACAGACACGCACACAGACATATAGCTTCTTGAAATCATCATCATATCATTTTCCCAAACAAACGAAAAAAAATGATGACTTTTTCTTAACCTAATCACACACACCGATTCTATATATATTCTGTGAAGAGAAAAGAAATTGAAACGCAAAAAAAACAACAACATCAATTTGATTTGCAAAAACGCAAGCGTCATCTACTATATTCTATATAGAAATTCTATATGATTTTACTGTTTTCTTTTACTGGTTTTTCGTTTTTCACGATTTCCAGAAAATTTTTTTTCCTTTCACATTGTATAGCATCCGAAAAAAAACACCGAAATCGAAAATAGCGAAAATGTAGTGGTAATCTTCAAGAGACAAAATGAATGAATGTAGATGTAAAACAAAATCAAAGAATTTTATTTTCATTTTCAATTTTCAAATTTCGGTTTTTTTTTCTGGATTCAAATATTGCACATCCAAACAAAACAAACCAATTCATACATCAATGTAGAGAGAGAGACACACCTACAAACAATGTACATGTATTTTATCTGTGTTAGTAGTGTGATGTGTTAGTGATGTGTCAGTAATGTGATGTATGTGTACATGTGTAAGGTACAGGTACATCATCATCATCATCATTACATTAACAAACAGCAAATAGGAAAAAAACACTAACATCTATCCAAAACCTAAACCATCAAATATTAGATTGTTGTTAAATGATATTGTTCAGAATTATTCATCATTTTCTTGGTGGAAGAAGAATTGAAAAAATAAAAAATTGAATCTCAAAATTTTTTTTATTCAATAATGATGATGTATATTCTTGAATGAATGAAGAAACTTGAAAACAAAAATTCTGAAACAACCAGACCAATAATAATGAATAATATTTTTGTTGAATTGGAAAAAAATCATCCATAAAATATGTTATCCAAAATTCCAGACACAATGTGAACACATTTTTTTTTTTTTTTTTTTTTTTTTTTGAATAACCGTCTGCGATATAACGGATATAAAATATATATGAAAAAATGAACATTACACACACAAACAAACATAATTTGTATATCATCATTATTATTATTGGCGCCGTTTTCATATTCACCCAGTTTTTTATATTCTTTCCCTCTCACTATAACGATTCCCGTGTGTTAATAATAAATATTTTGACTATATCATCATTGCCATTACATATACATATATATTATATTCACATAGACAATTTCTAATGACAAAAAAAAAAAAATAACTTGAAGACGACAACAACAACAACGATGATAATGATTACGTCGACATAAACCAACAAAACAAATCGTATGACCTAAATTCGTTGTTTCAATTCATTTATTCATGTATCATCTTTGAAATTGAAAATGAATTGAATTGAAATGAAATGGATGATCATCAATAAGAATTAAAATAAAAATAAAATAAGCGCCATCCAGTTGTAAAAGTTTAGAATTGATATGGGAAAATATTTAATTTTTTACAAATTTTATTTTTTGAAATTTTCAATTTTAAAAAATAAAATAAAAATATTTTTGAAAAACCTAAATTCCTACACACAAAACATGCGCAATAAATTCGTTGAAAGAATTTGAACGAGAGAATTCTGTTTTTTATTTTCTAATTATGGATGAAAAACAAAAACAACATCCACCCACATAGAAAGATGATTGAATTTTTGTTTTTTGTTGTTGTTGATCCGGTGTAAATCAATTTCGGAATAAATAGAAACATCATCAACAACAACAACAAGTAAGTAATGAAAAAAATCCGATTTAATTAAACAGAATAATCAATTTTTTTTGATTGATTGATTGATTGATTTTGATGTGGGCATTATCATTTTGAGCCACTAAAAAAACACTAGAAAAAACAATAACGTTGCTTTTTTCTGGTGAATTGTAGCGGAAAAAACAACAACAAATGAAATCTAGATCAAAATGTCAACATTTAGTTGTTGTTGTTGTTTGTTTGGAAAAAAAATAAAACATCCCCAATAATAATAATTGTTTGATAAACATTCAAATTAACATCGATATTTTCAGAAATCGAATCAAATTATTATTATGTAAACATTAATCGAAATGACGTTCGTTAGTTAGAGTTTCATATGAGAAAATCATCATAATAATCATAATCATCATTATTTGTCCCCCTTGTTCAGTACATTATCGATATTATAATCAATTGATGATGATCGGATTATTTTGTTTTATTTTTATCGTGAACCAGAAACAAGAAAAAAAAATAAAATTGTTTTTACATACTGAAACAACAACAACCCAAAAAACAAAAAACTGGATATTTTTTTCAGGTGCAAAAGGATAATGTTTTTATTTTCTGGTTACATAACTTACCCGGATTTGTTGCTAGAAATCGTTGGAATTCAAATGTTGATTGGAAAGAAAAAAAAACAAATTTTTTTTTGATGTGAATGATTGATTGATTATTTGAAATATTTCATCGACAGAAAATTAAATAATTAAATTTTCATCTTGTATTGGTGATATTAGAAAAATCAATGTCAAAACACACACTGAAACACGATAAAACACCGAAACAAACACGATATGTCAATCAATACAAGAATAAACAGAATTTCAGAATCATCGAATCGCATAAACACACACACGCATAGAAATAATAATAATAATAAAAACACGTGCGATAATACACGAACGTAATGATTGTATAAATGTGTGTGTTTTTGTGTGATGTATGTTTGTGTGTTTGTGTGTGATGTATCTTTGAAACGCATGTGAATTCAATTCACACACACACCGAACATCACACATACATCTCACATAACATCACCATATCCATTAAGCAATATCATAATGCATACCCATCATCATCATCATCATCATCATCAATTTCAAATAATAACGAAAGAGTAAATACATGAGAAACATAAAAAATTCCAGTCCATCCAGTTTCAGCCTCATACAGAATTCATTCATTTTTTTCTTTTTTCCTTTTTTTGCTTTCTTTCATTTTGTGATTCAGATTTTTTTAAAAAAATTAAAATTGTAAATTGTTTTATGCGTTCCCATAATGCAAATATTAATTCTTGATTCTAGAAAAAAAAAGAAATGATTGAATCAACTTGTTGAGCGCTTGCGCTATTTGAATTGAAAATTTTTGAATTTTTGGATTTTATTATCAACATGATCGTGATAGAAAACAAAACAAAACAAAAAAAAGAGAGAGAAAAAGAAGAGGATCTATGATGATGATGATGTTTTGTCTGGAAATAAAATTGGAAATTCAAATTATACGTTTATATACGATGGAGAGAGAGAAAGTGAAAGTGAAAGTGGAAAAGAGAAAGTGGGAAAAATAACACACACACACACACACTATATGTGTGATTTACACAATAAATAGCCGATGGCGCCTTTATTTCAATATATTAAAATGTTGTTGTTTGTTGGATGCATTTATAACTCATAATGATCATTAACCATGACCATTAAATCATAATCATCATCATTGCTTCTTAGTTTTTCTTTTTTGCATAACCCTCTCAGTCATTTTTTTTCATTGTTTTCATTCTTTCGTTTTGTTTTGGTCAAAATCCAAGGTGATTGATGAAATGGAAAAAAAAATTTCAAATCAAAAAAAAAGTATCAATTTTTTTTGGCTGTTGTTGATTGTTCAATTTATCCAATTTCAAATTTGAATGAATTTAAGAAAGTGTTTATAGCTTCTTTTTTTTAAAAAAATTTCTTCTTATCAACCCTATCATCATTATTACGTATTAAAGTGTTAACGACCGTCAACACCATAGTGAAAACAAAAAAGTTTGAAATAAATTCTTTGGTCAAAATGCACTCTAAAATAGAAATTTATTTTTTTTCAAACTTGTAAAAAAAAACTAGACATTCCAAAGATATTTTCATAGATGAACAGCACTCGAAAAACAAACACAAGATGAAATCAAAAATGTTTGGGAATTACAAATTCAACGAAGAAGAAGAAGAAAAAGAAGAAAAAATTCTTCGGAAAAAAAATTTTTACTTTTATTTTATCATTTTTCCATAAGAAAAATTAATTCAATTATTTTGATATGATTGAATTGAATTGAATGAATTGAATTGATAATTTATTTATTCATTCAGATGCCAATACTGGTCACAATCAAAAAATCAAAAAAAAAAAAAATCCACCACCATCATTATAATCATATATCACACACACAAACATTAAAATGAAAAATGCATAAAATTATTTTTACATCATGGTCATCATCATCATCATCATCGATAATCAGTATTCATTTTTGAATGAATAATTATGGATAAAGCCTGACTGTTTGATGTTTGGTAATAAGATATTTCACAAAACATTTTCAATATTCAATCATTTTTCTAACAAGATTTTTTTTTTGAATTTGATTTAACTTGACTGACTGAACGAGTTTTTTTTCCTTTTCTTTTTTTTGCAATCCAATCTTATACAACTACATTCCTTTGTGGTGATGATGGTTGTTTGTCTAAATTGATTAATCTTTTTTTTCGCGAATTTTTTGGTTTCGGTTTTGCACTTAACCATTGTAAACACAATGCTGTATTGCAAACAAAAAAATTGACTACTACTGATGATGATGATGATGATATGTAGAAAGAATTTTATTGATGAGGTAATAATAATAAAATCAACCAGGTGATTGATTTGAAAGAAAAGAAATCAAATCCATCATTGTTATTCAATGTCATCTTCATCATTGTTGTTTTAACGGTTTGTTGTTAATTAATTTTTAAATGAAAAAAAACCCGATAAACTTCATTATAAATTCATTAATTTTCAAGAAATAAAATAATAATAATGATTTTTTCCATCAACATCTTCATTATCCGTTGGTTTATAATGATTTTGATACTTCATCATCGTTGAAAAAAAAAATTGTGATAAATATAGCCAAGAATAATAATGATAATAATTTATGTTGAATAAAGTTTTGCAAGAATGTTAATGTGATATTTTTAGCAAACAAAACCCAAAATAATGATGAATGAATGAATAGATGACGTTCACCGGATTAACACTTTTTAAAGAAAAAAAATGTTTGTTTTTTTTACTTTGTCAAAAAAATAAATGAATGAATGAAATGAAATGTGCACGTAGTACGTGTATTTTCATTCATTCATTCATTCAAAAGAATTTGAATTCTTTAAGGAAAATATTTTTTTGTTTTGTTTTCGAAGATTTAACCAAAATGATAATAATCCATTGATAGATCTGGTTGACTGATGTTTGTTATTGTTATTGTTAATCATAAGATTTTTGTTTTGTTTTGTTTTGTTTTTCTGATTCTGAATGTTGATAAAATTCTTTCCGGTTTTCTGTTGTTGAATTATTCGACTTTACGTCTCACGAATTCATAAGGTTTCGGCTTTTGTTTTTCATTTTTTTTTCTGCCTTCAGATTGATTAAATTCTGATTAAATCAATATCGATCAATCGATATGGATTATGATTGAATTATAGAAGGAATTGAATGTAGATTCTCTTAGCTAAACTTGAATCTTCTTGATTATAATCCGAATGAAAATTCTACATCTACAGATCATGATGATGATGATGATGTGACTAAAAATAACTTTAAAAATAAATCTCAAAACAACTTTTCTTTTTCTAACATTTCAAATCAATCAAATGCGTTTGTTTGTTTGTTTGTCACACAATTTCTTTGTGGTTTTTTGTCTGTCTGACGAGCGAAAACAAATAAAATTCTTAAATTCATTTGATTTATTCAACCCTATCCTTATATAATCTTTTTGTTGTTGTCGTAAACAACAACAAAACTGGAGAGAAAGAAGAAACATTTTGGCATCGAATTCAATGCATAAGATTTTTAAAAAAATTATCAAAATTTTTATTTAAATCAAAAAAAAAGTAAAAAAAATGTGTTTTAGAATCATGAAAATGATGAATTTATCACAGATTGTAGGTGTTTTTGTAGTTGTTGTTGTTGCTATTCTTAATCGATCGATAATTGATCGATAATTTGTTGAAATTCGTTAATTATAATGATGATTATTGCTGCCTGTTTTTTTTTTGTTTTTGTTTTCAAATCTTCCATTATTGATTGATTGATTGATTGATCGATTGTTTTGTTTTGTTTTGTTTTACCTTGATTAATTGTCATATGATGATGTCATTGATTTTGTTTTGTTTAAATGTTGACAGCTTCCTTGTAAGATTTTCTTTTGTTTTTCATCGAAAAGAATATCCTCGTTATTAACGTCATTGATTCCATAGAAAAAGCGAAAAACAATGATGATGATGATGTCATTAAGAATTTCAGTTTAAATTCATTAATCAAATCACGAATTGAATTTTTCCTATATCAAAAATAAGTTGATAATAAAGATGTTTAATCATCATCGATAATAATTATAATAATGAAAACTAGAGATAAAACAATAATTAGATTATTATATTCGACAAACATCGATTATTAGTTTTTTACCTATTTTTTGTTTATTCCAAATCTGAAATTGTATGACGACGTTGTTGTTTCCAATTATCATTATCAATTAATTGTTGTTTAGTTTTAAATAAATGCATACGTAAATCATTATTTTTTGCTAAAAAAATTTTTTTTTATTAAAAAATTAAAATTTTGGGTTTTTATAAATAAGCTTTTAATTAAAGGAACTTACATTGATTATAATATGATGATGATGATGATTGTTGTAAAAATTCATTATTAATCATTATCATTTCAATAATTTTATCAACATTAACACCTTTTGCTAATGATTGTTGACGAAAAAAACGTTTCGGTATACGTGATAATGGATTAATTTCATCTTCAAATGTACTAGCAGCAAAACCTAAACCACAAAGTATTTCTTCAGGATTTTCACGTCTTGATTCTAATAATGAATCAATACTTGATATACTTGATAATGTATCATCTGAATTTATACTATTATTATATAATTGATTTAATGATATTAATTTATTATAATTATAATTTATAATCATCATATTTGTTGATGATGTTGTCGATGATATAGTTGGTGTTGTTGGTGTTGAATTACGACGTTCAAACATCATTCTTTCATCATTATTGGCTATCTTTTTCATCATTATCATTTATAATTTTTTATAATTTCTGGATTTTTTAAAAAAATAATAATTTTTCACTTTAAAGTTATTATTATCGATAATAATAATAATATTGTTATTGTCGAAATTTTGTCGATGAACATTAATGACAAAAAACAAACAAACAAACAATGTTTTTCATATGTTTTTCTTTTTCAAAATATACAATTTTTTTTTTGGTGTTCGAATGTGAATTGTGACAAAACTAGGAAACAACTACAACAACAATCCTTGGATTTTATTTTCCAAAATAAATCTTTTTCCACCAAAAACAAACAACCAAGGCAACGTTTTGTTGTCTGTGTGTTTTGGTGTTTGAATGATGTTTTTTTTAACTTTTTCAGTTCAATTCAATGGAAAAATAAAATATCAATTAATCAAATTTAATTGGATCCAGGAAACAAATGAACGAAAAAAAAGTTTGCCGTCAATTTTCACGATAAAACAACAACAGCATCAAAAATTCAAATGAAGAAACAGAAAAACAAAATCAATGATGATGCTATTTGGAACCACTTTGATGATGTTTATGATGAACAATTCAATTTTCCAACAAAAAACAAAACAACAAAAAATTTCGTCTAGCCACTTATCTGTCGATTTTTTATCTGGAAATTTATTTTTTGTCTCCTATTCCATTTTATCCACTGTTTTTTGTTTTCGACTACAATTTGAAACATCAAACAAGAGATGTGACAATAAAGGAAATTTTGTATTTTTTTTTTTTTTTGAAAAATTGAAATTTCCTTTCAAATCACTCATAGTGTGCATGCACCACAAAAAAAAGCGAAAGCGAAAGTGAAGAGAGAGAAAGCAAACGATGCAATTCTATACACAAGCATCAATATATGTTTAGTCTGTCTGTTTGTTTATTAATTTCTCAACAATTTTTGTTTGAAAAATTGTAATTCTTTGACACATGCAACAATTTGACAAGAAACAAGACAACAACAAGAAAAAAATGTCATATTTTTTCAAAGAAAGAAACAAACAAATAAATTATCAAATTGCAAATACAAGTTGCAAGTCTTTCTATTCTTTTGATTGATAATTTCAATTTTTTCAATTTTTTTGGTTTGAAAATATAATCCATATAAAGATCAAGGCTAATTCGACTAGAATGGCAAAAACAGAAAAAAGGTCGAAACATGACGATATAATTCCTGGCAACAAATTTTTTGGAATCAATGATGATGACGATAATCATGTTGTTGATGTGTGATTGATGCTTATTTTTTTTTGTTTTGAATTGGTTGTTATGGAGATTCTTTTTCGTGTTTATTTTCCCTTCCCCCTCTCTCTCTCTCGTATCCTTTTTACATTTGTCAATTTTGTTTCTCGGAAAATTTTTCAAAAAAAAAGTTATGGAAAAGTTATGGAAAATTTTATTTCATTTTTAAAAAAATTTTCAAATAAAAAAAATAAAATCATTGAGGGAAAAATAGGAAAATTTTCTGTTTTTTTTTGTTGTTTTTTCGTTGATTTTGCATTTTGAAATTATTATCATTTATCTTTTGAACCAATTTTTCTATGATTAAATTGACGGCCAATTTTTTCCACATGAAAACCAATCATTTCTAATTGTTTAATATTAATCATATTACGTCCATCAAATATAAATGCCGGTTTCATCATTAATGAATACATTTTTTCATAATTTAATTCCTATGTAATTTTTTTTTTAAATATAAATTATAAATCAGAAAATCGTAATTAGTTAAAAAAAACAAACCTTAAATTCATTCCATTCAGTACAGATAACAATAGCATGTGCATCAGTTGATGCTTGATATGGTGATTCAACAACCTGTACATAATCTTCTAAACATTTATTATTATTATCCATTATATTTAGATCGGTTAAATTTAAATCACTATTATAACGAAGAAAAAAAAATTGATTTTTGATTAAATTTATTGAATTTCATTAACTTACGCATAGATTTGTTCTTTTAATACTTTTGGATCATAAATAGCTAATTGTGCACCTTCTTCCAATAAATGTTGACAAACTAATTTTGCTGGTGATTCACGTGTATCACCAGTATTAGCTTTAAATGCAAAACCTAATATTGCAATACGTTTACCTGTTATTGTATTAAACATACATTCAGTTATACGTAATGCAAAACGACGTTTTTGATAATCATTCATAGCGATAATCTATAATTAAAAAAAACAAATTGAATATTCAATTTGAAAAAAAATTCATAATTACCTGATGCCAATAATCAGCTACTTCAGGTAGTTTAAGATATTCACAAAGATAAACAAGATTAAGTACATCTTTTTGAAAACAACTACCACCAAAACCAATACTAGCTTGAAGATATTTTGGTCCGATTCTTGAATCCGAACCAATAGCATTAGCAACTTCATTAACATCAGCACCGGTTGCTTCACATAATGCTGAAATAGCATTTATCGATGAAATACGTTGTGCTAGAAATGCATTTGCAGCTAATTTTGATAATTCTGATGACCATGTATTTGTACGGATAATTTTCTCTTCCGGTATCCAATTACGATAAATTTCACATAATTTTTCAATAGCAATTTGTGCATGATAAGTTTCATTACCACCGATCAATATACGATCCGGATTAATTAGATCATTAATTGCTGTACCTTCGGCTAAAAATTCTGGATTAGATAATACTTCAAAATGTATACCGGGTTTTTTATTTGCACCCAAAATACGATTAATACTTTCGGCTGCACGTACTGGAACGGTACTTTTTTCAACAATAATTTTACTATCATTAGCCGAACGTGCAATTAAACGTGATACATTTTCTAAATTTTTCAAATCGGCTGCTTTTCCTTTACCAAAACCAAAATTTTTTGTCGGTGTATTAACCGAAATAAATATTAATTCAGCATCGGAAATTTCTTTTTCCACTTGATTGGAAAAAAATAGATTTTCATTACGACATTTTTTAACAATATCATCAAGTCCAGGCTATTTTTTAAAGAAAAAATGAAAATTAGTTTTTTAAACAAAAAAAAAGATTTTTTATATACAAAAAAAACCCAAACCTCATAAATTGGTAATTGATTTGAATTCCAAAGTTCAATACGTTTTGGATTTGAATCAACAACACAGACTTTAATTTTTGGACACATTTTAGCTAATACAGCACATGTTGGTCCACCAACATAACCAGCACCAATACAACATATTTTTGTTATTTTTCTTTCCAATAAATGTTCCATTTTTTTCAATAATAAGTTCGTTAAGTACTAAAAAATGATCAATGAAAAATTAAAGAATTAAACATTCAAATCTAAATAAAATACATACCTGTTTGAATGATGAACTGGAAATAATGATGATGATGATGATGACAATGGATGTTTCAATGATGTGCTTAATGTTCAAATACAGACGAAAAACAAACAAATAAAACTTTTACAAAAGATTCCACGATACACACACACACACACACAGAGATCGACCATACAGAATTGATTAATGTTTTTGCTTGCTCAGTTTTGCTTGTCTGTTTTTTTCCCTGTAAATTTTTTTTTGATTTATATTAATGATAGCTTTATAGTCGTCTGGGTAAGCTTTTGTTGTTGTCTTGCTTGTTTGCCGAAAAAAATTTTTTTGCCTAAAATCAATGTTGCAAATAAAAAGCACAATGACCGAATGTGAATATTAAACAAAGAAGAAGAAAGTGGACAGCGAGAGAAAGAGTGGGAGAGTGAGAAATTCTTGTTTTTGTTTTCTCAAAAAAAAAAAAAAAATCATTTACACAAAATTAAGAAAGAAAACTGGAAATGGAAAATGTTTTTTTTTTCGATTCGCTTATGCTTCGTGTGTACATTTGAATATTGAAAGCATTTCTTTTTCATTCGAAAATTGAAATTTTTTAAGAAAGAAAAAAAAATGTTATCAAAAAGCAAACAAATTCTCAGTGCAGATGAAAATTTTTATCATTTGAAATTCTGTCTGTCTGTTTTAGGTTATCAGACAACAATTTATATATGTAACAACAAACGAAAACAACAAACAACAGCAACAAACAAACAAAAAACAAACAAAAACAAACAATTTTATTTCAATGACAAGTTTATGTCACGTTTTATCTAATAGTTTTTTTGGTTTTGTTTGATTGACAACAAACAACAAAACAACAACAACAACAACAACAAAACAAAACAACAACAACAAAACGGTAGTAAGATATAGATGGATAGAGAGGGAATAAAAACAAAAACTTATTTATAATGATGATGATTTTATTTATAAATAACAAGAAAAAAACTGTCATTTTTATTATTATTTATGATGATGATGATAATGATTATTATGATGATTTCATTGTATTTTATTTTCCAATCATAATCATCATTAGCATCGGATTAATTATCCAATTGGAATATTGTTTGCTTGCTTGCTTGCTTGGGAAAAATAATTTCATATTTTTTTTTTAATTGACAGGGTTGTTAAATTCAAATGAAAAAAACAAATGACTGAATTTATTTGGCTAAAAGATCCGGTTTGATTGTGATTACGATTGCTACACATTATATTGTCGTTTGTTTGTCAAACTTATATCAAACATAATCCATCAATTAATCAAACGACAAAATTGTTAAATTAATGATATCATCATGTATTTATAATTGTAATTATCAACACAAAAAGGATATTGCATTCTTGTAATTATGATTATAATCATTAATAAAAACATAAACAACAAAAAAAATTTTTATCAGAACTAAGAAATCATTAATAAAAATGTATTTTTATTTACTTCTTACTTTTGTTTTTCTGAATCCATATATATGATTCGGGAATCATTTTTTTGTAAACCAATTTTATACCTAAAATTATCATCAGGAATCAGTATTAGTTCGACCATTGCTTGATATGTATCAGAATAAAATCGGTTTTATTGATTATTATCATCTTGTAACGAAGCGGTGGAAATTTTTATTTTCCATCATCATTTTTTGTTCGAATTCTTTGCAAGAAAATTTTTTTTCGTATTCGAAAAATAAATTCCACATGCATTTTCACTATACACTTTGCTACTACTACCACCACCAACACCACTACTTCCAAAACATAAACATTCGATTATTCAAAGATGACGATCAAAAATTTTTTTTTGCTGAAAGAAATTCTGGATGAAAAAATTATATGGAAATATTCTTGAAATTCAAACAAGCCACTACTACCATTAATGATGATGATGATGATCCAAATTACAAATAAAAAACTTTTTTGGAAATGGGCGTTTTGAAATATCCAGACCAGAAAAAAAAACCCAAGTTGAAAAAAAATTATTACGCATTATCATGAGAATAAACAAAATTAAAGGTAGTAGTATTGATGAGTGAAAAGAATAACCGAAAAAAAGTAGTGGAACAAAAAGTAAGACCAAAACAACAACAACAACACAAGCAAAAACGTTCGAATTAGAATTCTCGATTTTTTTTTTTTTTTGGTTAGAATCAACATTTGAAACAAAATTTCAGAAGAAAAAAAAAATATATTCTACCATCATCATCATTTGAATATATAGATTTGCCTGTCCTGGTTTCTCGGGGAAACAATACAAAATAATTCCTGTGATTCTATATAAAAAAAGGCAAGTATTGAAGTTGAACAACAAAACTAAAGTAGAAAGAATTCTTCAAGTTCCATCCAACAAACAAACGAGAAAAAAAAATCCAAAAAATTTTTTTTTCTCACATAGATGTTGCATTAGTATTTCTCATCTCGAGAATATCAATATCAAACATCTTCGACATTTAACAAAAGTGCGAAAAAAATATTGCAAAAATACATTCATTCATCTAATGACATTCAGAATTGTTTTTGTCGAAAAAAATCATAATTAATAATTCAATTTTGTACCGATTTTTGTTTTGTTTTGTTTTGTTTTTTCATTTTCTGTAAAATTAATGTGATTGAATATTATTGTAAATTATCAAGAAACAGATAAACAAAAATCTAGTCGCAAAAATTTCTCTATCATTTCAATTGGTCAGTCATTGTTTGTTTTTTTTTCTGAACCATTTTTTTGTTCATCAAATATTTTCAATTTTCAAACTAATTCTTTTTTGTTTTGTTTTGTTTAGAAAAATAAAAAATAAATTCTATTGTTCAAGTGTTTCATTCAACAACATCATTACATTTAGATTTAGTTTGATCATTATCAATCGTATCCATCCATTGTTTGATCGATTTTAAAAACAAAACATTTTCAACGAAACGAAAAAAAGAAACCCGGAAAAAAATGTAAGTTTTAACTAGCAATTTTTTTTCACCATTCTTATTCAAAATCCTATAAAAAATATGTGTAGGTGTATAATTTGCATGCATCATGTTAATCAATCATATTTAGTATTTTGTTTTTGGGAGAGAGAGAGAGAGAGATAAATTCTTTTGGGATTTAGCAATAACAACAGCAAGAATAATGATAGTTTTTTTTCTGTTGTTGTTGTTGTTGTTTTATTCATAATCTGAAGCAATTTATCAAAACAAATTTTCTATTTTTTCATATTCTGAAATTTTTGTTTTGTTCCAAATTCAATTTCAATTTTGAATTTGAAACGGCCAATTTTTCGTTTTGGCTTTTGAAATCTTTTCTCACTTTAAGCAGGAAAAAAATATTCTTCTTTTTTTTTAATTAATCAAATCGGATTAAAATCATTTTTTCTTTTTTAGTTTTGTTTTGTTACTAGCCGGTTTTATATAATTATAAATGACACCCGTTCTTTTGCTTCTTTTTTTTATTGATTAAAATTTGAAGTTAATTAAATTAACTGGAAAAAAATGGGGGAATGTTTTGGTTAATTATTTCAAGAGTGAGAGATGCTATTTGTTTGTTTGTTTGTTTGTTTATTTATGGTTCAATGAAAATCAATCTAATAAATAATAATAAGAATTTCTATAGTTTATTAAACATGTCTATCCGATGTTTTTTTTATTTGGTTTTGGCTTTGGTTTTCAATTTCATTCATCAAATGAAATTGAAAACTTTCTAAACTGAATAAATATTGATAATGATGACGATGATGAATAAAATAAACATCCCAAATGGATAGATTCTAGTAGTACCTATAGCAATAATAAAGATCCACATATAGATCGATAATGAATGATCGATATATGTGTAGAATCGTTTTTGGGAAAATACAAAGAAAGAAAAGTTTGTCAGGACAGAAAAATCCCAAAAACAAAAAACGCCATAGTTAATAAATATCAATGATGATGATCAACAACAACAGAAAAATTTTTCTCATGATTCTTGTTTTTTGTTTTGTTTCTGAAAATCGATTCTTGAAATAATTCTTTTTTACGTATCATAATCATCATCATCATCTCATAATCATAATCATTATGTTTACAATTGATGTGTCTTTTGGTATTTATATACAGTATATATAGCGAGAGAATTCAGGAATCTGTCTAATTTCGTTTTTGGTTCATTCATTTTTGGTTCGTTTTTTTTTGTTTTTTCATTGAAAACCAAAAACCATTGAAACGAACCAAATGAAAATTATTATTCTTTTTTATTAATAATAATAATAATTTTCATTTTCATTTTGGTTCAACTTTCATTTTTTTTTTTTTTAACTGTATGGTTGCGTATTTTTCATTCCTGGTCGAATTGGTCGACTGACTGATGATTATACAGAATATATATGGGAATAGGAATCGTGAATTGATTGTGTACTTATTATGGAAACATTTTAACCATTTTTTTGTTGTTTTGTTGTTCCATAGAAAGTATTAAGAGTAAAAGTATGAAGGCAATACCAGAACAAGACAGAAACAAAAAAAAAAAAAAAAATTTTTCCCATCAAAAGGGAATCGTGTTGTTTGACCGAAAAAAAAAGAAAAAAAAAAAATTTGAAGGAAAACCCAAAAAAAAAAAAAAAAAAAAAAAAAAAAAAAAAAATTCTTCCCATCGTAAGGGAATCGTGTTGTTTGACCGAAAAAGAAAGAAAAAAATTTCAAATGAACAGAATTCTGCGCATCCCACACAATTTTTCTCTCACTCTCATTTTCTCTAACGATGCTAATGGCAATTTTGTAACCAGAAAAAAATGCAAAATAAAAGAATATAGAAATTCCATATAATAAACCACCCACACACACACACTTACACTTACTTACATAGAGAATATGTTTGATTTTTTCGTTTCGTTTTGGTTCTGAATAGCTCAACAACAACAACAACGTTATCTATCCATATCTTCGTTATCTATTCTATTCTATCTAATATTATATATAGGTTGTACTAGAGAATTTAATGCTGTTATCCAAAAAAAACAAAAAACAATATTTCTCACAAGATTGTTGATATTATGATTATGTGAGAAATTTCATTATCTTCAAATTTTTGTTCAGGTTTTTTCAGGTTTTTTTTTGGTTCACTTTACCTGATAACTTTATTTGTGTTAATGTCATTACAAGTTTTTTTTATTGTTGTTGTTGTTGTATTATAATATACAGATTAAAATTATTGTTTCAATGGTTGTTTGTTGTTGTTGTTGTTAATCATCATCATCATTCATTCATTCATAATGACCATTATTTTTATTAAATTTAATATCTTTTTCTTCTTCTTCGCAACCAAACCAATAACATTATATGTGAATGATGAAATGAAATGAGAATAATAATTCTTATAATAATAATAATAATTTTATTAAAAAGCGTTTATCCAGTGGATATTTACGCTAAAATAAAAGTTAAAATGAATTATCAATTACAAATTTTCAATATAAAGATAGCCTAGGTACAAGATTGAAGAGATACAATGTTTAAAAATAAAGAAAAGAAATTAAGTAGCAATTACAATTTAAAATTAAAATGAGAATAATAATTCTTGGTAATATTTTTTTTTCTCTTTAAAAATGTATATATAATTATATGTTATATGCAGAATTAAATGAAAGAATCATTTTCATTTTTGGTTTTTTCATATTTTTTCATTGGGGGGGGGGTTCAAAATAAATGAACTTTTTTTTCGAGCTAAAATACTTGAAACTTTATAATGACGATATAGATGGAAGATTTTTTTGTTTTGTTTTTGTTTTGGTTTGCATTGAATTTACCTTATAAAATAATATATCCAACACCACCATCATTGTTGTGAAGCAAGCAAGAAAGGAGAGGGAAATTTTTTTTTGTTTTGTTTCTGGATCGATTCAATTGATCGATCAAGAATTTTTGGTTTTAGTTTTCGTTTTTTTGGTGGTTATGGTTATGGTTTGATATTGGTTTGGTAGTATATATACACGCACTTTGCTTGAATGTTTTTCTTTTTTCCTTTTCTTCAAATGAATTTCTATTGATTAATTAATTTCTTGTTTTTGTTTTTTGTTTCTTTGATTCAATTTAATTGTTTCCTATAATCTTTATTCGATCATCAATATAATAAAGTTTAGATTTTAAATTTGAATAATAACAACAAACAAACAACAAAACAAAATGGATTTTTTCTCAAACATTCTAAAAAATACTGTAAATAAAGCTGAAACATTGGGTAAAGCAGCAACAGCTGCTGTGAATTCAACATTAAATCCAACATCCGGATCAACCACCAGTAATGATGAACAAAAATTTGATAATGATGATAATAATATGACATATGAACAGCAACAACAACAACAACAAGATGTCAATAATGTTGATGTCAATTATAGTGAAGGTATGATTATTGTTTTGTTTTGTTTTATTTTTATTTTTGCTTATTTTGTTAAAATTATTAAAAAACAAACAGATCAAACATATACAACAACAGCAGCCGATAATGCAACAGAAGAATTATTGAATATTGATGAAAAATCATCATCAGCAGCAGCATTTAATTATGCTGAAACATCACAAAAAGCTATTGAATCGGCCAAATATTTTGGAAGTAATTTATTAATAAAAAATATTTGTTTTTTTTTCAACATTAATGAATAATTATTCCAATCAATATTTATTTAGATTTTATTGCAAATGTTGCAAGTAAAGCTGGACAAACAGTATCGGCAACAGCAAAACAATTAAAAAGTACTGTTGAAAATGTTGGCCTAATGCAAGATTTTACCAAAGAACAACAAGAATTTATTAAAGAACATGGTGGTAAAACTGATTTAGCTGAACCACCTTGGATTGGTTGTGATGATGAAGAAAAAGTTAAGGTGGAAATTTTAAGCCTTTCACAAGATAAACGAAATTTTGTTCGTAGTCCACCGGCTGGTGTTGAATTTCCATTCGATATGAATGATTCGTATCCAATTGCATTGGCATTATTACGTGAAGATCCTGAGCTTGCTAAAATGCGATACGAAATTGTTCCTAAATTGTAAGTTTTCATTTTGATGCAAGCAAAAAAAATCTAATTTAAATTAATTAATTTTTCTCTTAAAAACACAGAGTAAATGAAGAAACATTTTGGAAAAATTATTTCTATCGTGTATCGTTAATTAAACAGGATCCAAATCTTTCCAACAGTAGTAATAATTTCGGTAATGTTGATGATGATGGTAGTGGTCGTGGTCGTGGTCATAAATCATCAGGTTGGGGTTCATCTAAATCATCATCATCCGAAGGACCTGATGATCCAAATGATCAGATTGGTGAAACAATAGGCGAAACAGAATTTATTTCGGATACATTCCAAAATTCTAATCTATCGGTTGATGATGTACGCCAAGATATGTATAAACTTGGCATCAATACCAATGATGGTATTTAACTTTTTTTTCGTTTTTGTTTCGTTTTTATTTTGATTTTTTTTATGATTTCATTTATTTATTTGCACGTTTTTTTTCGTTTTTTTTTCTTTTTTTTTCAAAACAATCTATGTAATATCTCTCCAAAAAATAGACATTGATGAAGAATTAGCTAAAGATTTGCAAGAATTTGATTTCGTTACCAACAATGAAACAACAACAACAACAACAACCACAACCGGAAAAATTGATGATGATGAAATCAACCGAGAGCTTGCCAATTTCGATATTAAATAATCCATAATAATAATCCATATTTATAATTATGATTTGATTTGCTTCTTTCTTTTTTTTGATCAATTTAATTTAGCAAAAAAAACAAAAACAAACAAACAGATGTAATTCAACACAAACAAATTCTGTGTTTTTTTCCCCATTAACAAACAAAACAAAACAAAATATCATTACGCACATACGTTTTACAACAACAAAAACAAAACAAAATACATTTTTTCCAATTTTGATTATAATATGTGCACCTATATATCCATTTACCTTATTATAAATATATATATCAGTTTGAATATGGTTTCATAATAATTATATTACACAGTAAAAAAAACAAAAATTTCAAGCAATAAGACCAATTTTTTTTCGCAAAATACAACCACACACACACATAAACACAAAGAATATTTATAATTGTTTATTAGTAAGAGGGAATTTATATTTAATGTTGTTGTTGTTTTCGTCGTTTTTTTTATTATTTAATTATTTGTAATTCCTATATAGATTTTGTTTGTTTGTTTGTTTGTTCGATTGATTGATTCATTGATTCATTTATCGTTTTTTGCTTCCAACCTTTTCGCTTTCCATTTCGCTTTTCTTTTTTCCAAAAACACCGATTGATCGATTAATTGATTGGTTGATTGATTGATTGATTGTCATTAATGAATACATTCAGTTATCATTTGTTAATATATTTAATTATTATATTCATAAAGTTTTCTTTTTTCTTCTTCATTTTTTTAAAGAAATCGATTTAATCGATCGTTTCGTTCCCCATTTTTTTCAAACAAATAAATTAATTTGGCATGAATTTTTCTGTTCTGTTCTGTTTAATTGAATTGAATAATAAATGAAAATAATTTCCCATCATCGATTTTGTTTTTGCAGAGAATATGTTTTCTCTGAGTACCATTTCAGATCGGTTTAGAATTTTTCTCTCTCTCTACCTGAATATCATTATCCAACAAAAAAAAAAACTTTCAATCAATCAATCAATATATTTATATAAAAAATATTCATTTATAACTATATAGTGTATTCTGTAGTAATAAAATTTATAATTATAATTATAAAATAATGAATTTTCTTTCTTTGTTTCTTATAAATTATTTATATTACACATGGACCTTAACACAGACACAACCGACACACACACACCTATCTTACAAATGTTTTTTTTTTATTCATTTATATAATACAGAATTGTATACGATTTTTTTTGTTTTTGTTTTCTGGCTAAAATTACATCTTCAAATACACTATATATATTCAGTAGATAATTGACAAAACAAAAAAAAGGAAATCATTTAAAAACAACAACCAACAATTAAAAAAAATGTGTCCATTTTATTCGGTTCTTCCAAAATGAAAAACAAAAAACAATGCTTATCATCATCATCATCATCATCATTATCATTACACTGAAAACAGAAATAAAAAAACATTTGATGCTTATCATTATCAATTATCATCGTCATCAATCACCAAACAAACAAACAAACAAATTATTCTATGAGATAAAGGATCTGTTAGAATCCTGAGCTAATATTTGCTTAAATGAATTGAATAAAATCTTAATATTTGACATTTGACAGTTAAAAAACTTTGGAAAGAATTTGAACTGATAAATGAATGTTTGATAGTTTGAATTCAAAAAATTTCAAACCAATAAGAAACCAGTTGTACCATCTATTGTCGAAATCAAAAGTCGTGAAATTTTCGATCAACAGATGGCACTAACTAAACATTTATTTGCATTTTTTGAATGAAATTTTTTTGTTTCATTTCAAACAAGTCTGGCGTCATCTGGTTTTAAAAAATCCAAATATGAAAAATTTTTCAGAATTTTCGCAAAAATCGATCAATTTTATCGATCGAAAATCAATTTATTCTACGCACATCCGTATAGATGAGGATTTATGGATTTTTTTTTGCTTGCCAAAATTCATTCATCATTTGCAAACAAAAAAAATTTTTTTTTTAATTTTGATTTAATCAAAATCGATTTTTCCTTTTTTCTTTCATCTTCAATTTCGATGATCAGCAAAAAAAAATGAAAATGAACAGCAAGAACAAAATAACATCTCAGCAAAAATGAAAATGATGTCATTTTTATTAAAAATGATCGAAAAAAAATGTACAGTAATGCTTCGTTTTCAATAAAAAAAAAACATTACATAACAAAACATAAGCCAAATCTAACTGTAGTTTTTTTTGTTACATTTAATTCTGCTGATTCAAATTCATTTTCATTTAATATTCGAATGAAAGTAGCAGCGAAAATATTATTGATTACAATGTGGCCGAAAAGAATATTGAGTCGAAAAAAAAATTTTTCAATTCTTTAATTCTATTAACTTTCGATAGGAAGAAGATGAAGAAGGAATTGCCCTCAAGAATTTTTCGTTTTTCGTTTTTCATTTCCATCAATTCAATCCAATCGAGAGAAAAAAAATTCCTAAATTATTAAATGAATCCTAATCGAATGAACCAAAAAAGAAAAAACCTGAAACCAGAGCAACGCAACGCAACAACAGCAACGAGAGAAAAAAAAATCTGATTATAACAAAACAAAAACTACATTAGCAAATTATTATTATTATTATTATTTAATGGTGATGAAAGGAAACAAAAAACGAAACGAAACGAATGAAAAAATCAAATCAAATTAAGAAATATGCTTCTAACAAATACACAGAATTCCAGTTACATTTGACATTTTCAACATTCACTTCATTCAACAACCGTTATTTGTAAATATTTTTTTTCTTCTTTCTTCTAAAGTGATATTCTTGTGATCGATCATTAATTTTTATCAAATGAATTAGTTTATTTTTGTTTTTTTTTGTTTTAAATTATTTTGACAAGTTTTTGAAGTAACTTTGAAAAAAATACAATGTTTTTTGTTTTCATTATAAACAAATAGATTATTTCAAAAGTCAGTTAGTTAGTTGGAAAATACTTTATCTTTATTTAATGTTGATAACTAAGGTCTACTACTATTTCGACTGGTGATGATGATGATGATTGTCAAACGACGATTCCCCAATTAAAACAACGATGACAAACACAGAACAAACACAATAATGGAAAAAAACAAAAACAAAAAAAAATTTTCAAGAATTTTTTCTCTGGATGCAAATTTCCCTAATGAAATTTATTAGTTTACTTATAATATTGTGACCAGAAAAAAAAGAAAAAGAAAAATGTAATTTAACTGGTTTGAAGTACCAGAAATTTAAGCTTATTTTATTTTATTTTTTTTTTGCTGGTTCGTTTGATGATTCAATACATTTTTATTCTTTGGAAACAAAATAATCAAATAATTTAATTCTTTCTAGTTTTGTTTGTTTAAAATTTCCAAGAATTTTTCCATTAATTTTTCTTTCTTTTTTTTGCTGGCTTCTTTCCTTCAGCTCTCACTGAGTTTACATCTTTTTTTGTTTTCATCATTTTTTTTTTGGCAAATTTGAGTTTTTTCTCAGAATAATTTTTTTTCTTTCTTTTTGTTTAGTTTTGTTTAATTTCATTTCACAAACACACAGTTTTCTTTTCTGTTTGGTTTGGTTTGGCCAATTATTTTTGCCAAAAAAAAAAAAAAAATTATTTGGTTTTAATGTCGGCGTAGGAAACGAAAAAAAATAAAAAAAATTAAACCACAGGCTGTCACCAGGTTA